TATCTGTGTGTGATTATGCATGTGTTGCTTGGAGTGAAAGTCATACTGTAGTCATACAGAAGTGTACATGTACTGTACACAATAAATACTGGTACATACCTGTACATAACGTAGATTGCATAACGACCATCAGTTTTATGTACATGTATACACACATGTACATGTACATGTACAGTGTATGTCTAATATTTATTATCTTATCACATTTGAGATATTGGCCAGGTAGAGATTACAAAGTCATATGAAGATCATTCGTAGTTCACTTGTCCTGTAGTATAAAATGTACAATAAAAAGCAAAACAATTTCTGAAGATTAAATATGTTTTGGTAGGGGTAAACATTTTTTGTTTAATAATTTTATGCTTGCCAAATGCTTTCTTGTGCTGTTCTGTTCCAGAATCTGATTCTCAAGAGGGATAAGGCCATGTAAAAAAAATATACATGTTTAGCATCCCCGCCCGCTTCCTTTTGGGTGGCCTCTTCCTATTTTTTTTTTCTTTTCTTATTTATTTACTTATTTTTTTTTGAATGTTTTTTTGAATTTATGTTTTATTTTAAAGAAAAAAAACATCAAAAACACTGCTAAAATGGATCTATTTCTGATTAAAAAAAATAAATAAAAAAATTGTTGGCCGCCATCTTGAAAAATAGCCCGAATGTCAGGGAAAATGTACCGAGCGGCCATTTTGAGCGGCCATTTTGAGCGGCCATTTTGAGCGGCCATTTTGAAAGAAAAAAAAAGAAAAAAAAAGGGCCTCCTAATTCCCATTTTTCGAAAAAACAGGACGCTAAACATGTTTTTTTTTTAATTTGGCCTAAAATGCTACATGTATAAAGTGATATAAAATGTAGGCCTGTACATTGATCATCAAGTGCTTCGATGTGTGTGAGTGTGTTTGTGTGTGTGTGTGTGTGGGGGGGGGGGGGGGTCTATGGATTTGGGGGGAAAATGCATGTACATGTACATGTACAGTACATGTAGGTCACGATACAGTTCAGACAAATATGAATGGATTCTGTACCTGTAGCTTACATAGACTAGTATGGTACACATACACAGATTGGGAACATTGTACTGTACATGTAGGGATGTTAGACTAAAAATTGCAGTCCATTAAATCATGAAAATTTTGCACTGTATTTGGAGAACACAATTTATCATTCAATATGGAAAAAAAATGGAGTCAAAATATAAATCGATTCTCGAGATATTAATTTTTTAATATTTTTATTTAGGGGTATTTCCTGAAGTTTTTGCATAGGAAATTACAATGTAAGCATGGCACCGAGTGTAATTTAAGTACATAGTAAAGAGTACATACCTCAACATTGCAAGCATTGTTTGATGTGCCATATCTCAAAAAGTATATCTTGTTTCTCATTGAAATTTCAACAGAACTTTTCTTCATTATATTCTTTTTATCAACATTTTTAAGAGAAACCTTGAAATTAAATATATTGTTGCCATGGAAACAAAACAAAGAAAATAAGAAAATATTTAAAAAGTAATATACCGGTATTAACTTTCCAGATCGAATTGCTACTCAAAACACTTTGCATTCCAAGATAATGGCAGGGACATCTTTCCACAACATTTTTAAAATTAAAATATAAGGTTGCCATGGCAACAAACAAAGAAAAACAAAGATTTAAAAAAAAAAAAATATCACAGGAAAATGTTTCCTGATAAAATTTGAGGATCGATTTGAGGATCTGGAGGATCGCTGATTTTCAAGTAAAGATTTTCAAATAATCAGCGATACAAATATAAGATGATATTTCAATGTAAACTTGGATTAAAATTCTGGCAGTCATGGTGGAAAAATATATCAATTCCAAGTACATGTAAAATTGCTTTTTGATAAAGGAAAACAAATATGGTAAATGTCCAGAAAACCTCTTGTAATGTTACAAATGTATCAGGAGAATAACACCTGTATATTTACAATTACAGCTGAGTCACTAGAATTGCTCATTTCTACGTAATTTCCCTCGAAACAGTGTTTAGTTTCCCTTGAAACATTGTTTTAATAATTTCTTGCATTTTATCTTTTTTAAAGAGGGAGTTTGTACACTTAGAAGAAGAGCCACATGCCGGCGCTTACAATGGAAATTTCCACGTGCGCGCACGTGGCCATTGCAGCTTGATGATAACATCACGCTTTTCTTTCCTTTATACTTTCTCCCGGCATTTCACTCGTACACACATTCAACATTTCAACTTCTTTTTCTATAATAAATACTGAGTTATTGCTTTAATAATGGAGTCTTTAATTATGAAAAACTTATATTCAACGTTTGTAGTCGATCAAAATTCTCAATTTATCCATGGAAAGTAGTTTCTAGCTGCAAATATTTCGTTCGGTCCGTACGTGTTCAGCACAGAATCACCAGGGGTTGAGGGCGAGTGTCAAGACTTACGGTTGTTCAGTCTTGGGTAGTATACATCGGAAGTTTGTGATTATCTGTAGATGATCCTGAATGAATTTCCCTTAGATTTTTGGCTCAAAGATAGCTTGGATATCACTTATAAATATACTAACATTGACTTTTGCAAAAAATTCATTTTTATAAGAAAAAGATTGCTATAAATTGGAACTTTTTTTACTGCTCAAATATATTAAAAGTATGGGGTAGGCAAAAAAGTCAACGCGCATGGTCAACTTTTCTAAGTTTCATGAATGGCATGTCCAAATTTGGGCATTGTGTGACCCGGGGATCACCTCCAGATTTCGATGTAAACATGCGCAGTTTTTCAGAGAATCACAGAAAAGCAGTGCCATGGCTGCAGCAATGCCTTTCAAACGCTTGCAAAGGGCCAATGAGCGAATTAGAGCTCATCTTTACTGCCATATTTTGATTGATTCTACGATTCTACTTGTGAAGAAAATGCTTCCAATATTGGAATACAACTTTAATCTACGGTAATTATTAATCAATTAGTTCTTTCCTGCTAATTTTGATTTTTAATGAATTTTTAAAGATTGCATGTTTTTATTTCGACTACAATCACCATAGGCTCGTACGCACATTGATGGCTCGATTTCAGGATTGCAGCGCGAGCGTCTGACATCCCTAGTACATGTGTACATGATTAGGCCTACATTATGTAGTGACCTTACAGTATACTGTATGAATCAGAACATTATCCTCAACCTGCATTTATTATGCATCCTAGGGCTGAAACTGAATGTTTCCTGAGGGAAAGCTCCATGCCTACAGGTTTATGACTAATGAATGCCCAATTCCAGTCAGTTCACTAGTTCATCAAATCTGGCCTGCATTCCCTGCTTTCAAGGCTGTTATTGCAATGTGTTTGTTTATACCCTTAGGGTATTTTATGTGTTGGCAGCTTGAACTCCTACTTGCCATTTTCATTTGGCCATGCATTTCACATGTGTAGATACTTTTGTACTGCACTGACTACTGCTGGTAATAATATACTCTTTTCACACTGGTTTTGCTTAACCCCGTACTTTGCTTAGCCCCGTACTATCCTTAACCCCGGACTATTTTTTTGGCTTTTCACACACGCTGTTTTTAGTCCCGTACTAGCGCCTATTACGGAATAAGAAAATTCCCGCTGTTCTCACTGCATTTCGTTAACCCCGGATATCGTGTATGTTATGATTGGACATACTTCGCATCTAGCCAGCTGCGTAACGCTCCATTGCGTAGTACCGGACTATTTTTCGTTTCTGTTCTCATTCATTTGCTTTGCACCGCAATTGCGGGGTTAGCAGGAGTTAGCACCACAATTGCAGAGTTAGCCCTGCTATTTTGCAGGGTTAGTTAACCCCGTACTATACATGTAGGTTTAAATCTTTAAAGGTACTAAATGTATGTCCCATTTGCAGGCCAAAAAAAATGAAAAGGTTAAATTCCAACGGCATTTGAAAGATAATACTAATTTAGAGCTTCCCTAAAAAAGGTAGGGCTTGAAAATGTCTTCAGGTGGGAAAATAACGACTATTAGTTGTCAAATCGACTTAGGAGCTATAGAGCCAATAAGTAATAGTCTTGATTTTCAGACCATTGTACCGAAAGGTCATACGTTTTTAGCTGCGCAAAGATTCAATCAGTTTAATTTTGGCCATCACAAGAAGTGGGTTATTGATGTAGACAAATGCTCATGTACCCTTTACAGCTCATTTTATGTATGTTATTACCAAAGAAGAAAAAGCCAGTCAGTCACTCAATAGTGTCTGACAGTGAAGTCTAGCAAGTAAACGGGTTTCCTTGCATAATTTGAATAATAGGACACTGCTAACGTTTAAATTTCACAGATAGAAAATACATGACATATTCATAATTCCTGCAAAGTTCTACATAATTTAAGGTTGGCTGCAGAAGGGACATAGTACCTTTAACTAGTATCATTTGACATAATAAGCTGTAGCCCAAGATGACAGGGCAAACAAAATGAACATTATTTCAGGCAAGTGTAAATAATGCCAAATGGAAGATTTTGCTGCCTGTCTGGGGCAACCCAAACTTTTCACTCATTAACAGGTATACATGAGAAATGGGGGCTGTAATACAACCTTATGCCACAACACAGAAAATAAATACTTGATTGACTGGCGTGATGAGTGCAGAGTCCCGATTATCATTTTCCATTGGATAATAAATTTCAAATTCAAGTTAAAGAGTATTATTCATCCACCTGTTTGTACACTAGGTGTGGTTTTTGTTTGTTTTTTGTTGTTAATAAAACAAGAAAGGGGATAAGAATTGGAAATGCATGCCATTTTTCATTTCAAGTACTGGACAATGTTGTGTATGGATGGAGTATTTTGAGCAAGCCAGTTTTATTTACATGTATTTCAGTGTCAAGTTCTGTACTTGCACAAACTGGGAAAACCAGAAACTGTTGTGAATTTTGTCTACCTTTTTTTAATGAAAGTTTCATCATGTACACATAGGTCTTATAGTACGTACATTGCAAGTATACTGCTGTGTGGTTGAGAAAGTTACCGGTTTGTTATTTCTTCCCACAGCCATGTGTACTGATTGTGAGCTATCGACGCTCTGATGACTCGGTGGTGGTCCTGGGAACAAACTGTGAGGCAGAATGGAAACCAGACTCAAGTGTCATCGCAGTGGCTGTAAGTAGATCTATACACTTTACATTGTATATATGAATTCTTTACCATCTCAATCTTACTCCCACCCCCACCCCTACCCATGCTTGCCTTGCTAATCCAACATGTTCTGATTTGAAATTAAATTAAATGCCAGTATTATTTTTTCCAAAAACTATACATATATTTCCATTTTAGATAGAGTTGATAGAATTGATAAATGCACCCTTAGACTGGCTGTATACCAAATGAGTTTACATTTTTAGGAGGAAACTTAATCGCACCTGTAGCAGTCTAGCTCCTGCGAATCTTTGGAAACTTGTGAGAACTGTGCTATTCACATAGTGCTGGCATGTGACCTTGTCTGACCTTTGTCACCTCACTGATTCACACAGTCAGCTGATGTAGTATGAAGTTTTGTTTGTGTTGCTGGCCTCCAGTCAAGTTTCATAGTCCTGGAGACTGGAGTGGTGCCGATTGACTGAACATGTACTACACTACAGTGTATCTAGCGTGAATACATTTTTTTTGTAGTTAATGTTACTCTCATCGGGCTCTCATCATTATTTTTTTCTCTTGATTTTCGTTGTTGATGGTGAATTATTGGGGGGGATGATTGTACAGGCCATCCCCCCACCTGAAATATTGGGGGATATATCCCCCCATCCCCCCGGGATCGACACCCATGGTTGCGATGGATTTGAATACCTCACCATCTGAACAATCCTTCAGGGCCTCACTCTCTATACTAGTCTATACCCAAAATATCTGATTGGGACGTGTAGCTGGCCCGGTGGGGTCACTCCCCCGCAGAGGGTGACAGTATGACCGTTACCACAAATGCAAATAACCCTCTTTTGCGGTCAATTGCAAGGACATTTTGTGAAATTGAACCCCCTTGTTTACGTCAAAACAAAGACAAAATCGTACTTGGAATATCCATATTTATAAGATTGTAAGGACACTTTCTCAAATTTACCCCAATTTTACCATATTTCAAGGACAAGATTCGGCTCTGAGAATTTTTCTTTCCGGTTTTCTCTTTTCCCTTTTCCTGACCCCCTATTTATCAATTTCGTGGACACCTGTGCACCCCTATTTTCTATATTTCGAGGAATATTTTTTCCGCGGACATTGCTTGAAATTGACCTTTTTTTTGCGATTTTGCGATCCACGATTTTGGTAAGGGTCATGCGGTCCGAAAGTCACATTGAGTGACTCCTTCCGGGTAGCTAGACAGCAATATGTTGCTACAATAGGGTAGTTCGTTCGTTCGTGTCTCCTTAAGTTAGATCAAGTCTATAGTTACTGTATGTAAACTGTAAAGTTCCTTAATTTAAAAGTAAATTAAATTAAATTAAGTTCTTCCATCGCCCGATTGCTGCAATGGCCGTTTTTATTAACAAGGGCCAGGTCTTCATCTGTGCAACCCGTTCCGTTGGGGTAGAGATAACCCAGATCAGCAAATGTTGTATTTAAAGCCAGTGTTAATAATGAAATTAAAAGAAATTGGCCACGTTGGCCTAATTGTATCGTAGTGAAAGTCTATTATGTGTACAGTTCAGTGGTTTTGTTGAATGAAGTTAGTTCGTATATCCTGCCATAGTCTAATATCCCATGCTTCAAAAGTACACAATAGGCGGTGTCACACAGAGGCCAAAAATCCAGATTTTAGTCATAAATCCGGATTTTAGTTATCTTCTTAATTGCTGTCTGTCATCAATTATCCCATTAAAAATCCTCTAACGAAGCAAGAAAATTCTCTCTTGAAAGGATTTTTCAAGGGATTTTTCTGTGTGACACTGCCTATAATGTACACATGTACCAATATTGTCCAGGTACATGTGCATGTTGATGCAAACATGTACAGTATATGTACATACCTGTAGTATCCAACATAATTCAGGAGGCATGTCGTGAGAACTCTGACAAATTTCTACATGTCTTGTACTATGAAATTACATATACTTTGTACATGTACGTAGGCTACATCTTGATCAATCTATTTGTACATGTAAATGGATCTCGGTGCAGACATTGCTCTGACATGTGAAAGGGGCATAAATGTCATTAATAGCACAAGAAATGGGCCATTGTTTGTTTCCATTGTTTGTTCCCATTGTTTATATTAGCCTACTATGCTAATGGTGACACCCAATTGTGTATGCATGCTGTACTCACCAATGTGTCAGAAGAGGAACTATTATTATTTGCTCCAATTGGTTTGGAAATGCTGTTTTCTATGCATACGTAATATAACGTCCTTCAGGACTCTAAAGTTCATCCACCTGTTGCTGAAAGCAAAGGTCAAGTTAAAAATTATGCAGTTGCATGGGCTTGCGCACACCTGTTCATTTTAAGAATCTTGGATTTGTGTGTACATACATGTATGTACATGTACATGTATGTACAAATAAAACAGAAAACATACCTTGCTTAAATTGTTCAGATGTAGCCAAGCATGTTGTGATATTGACATTTTGCATTAATAAATGGATATCTCCCTGCCCCTACATGTACCACTTCTCTCACCCTCTATTTTGGGTTCAATATCATTTTGCCACTTTTATCTTTTTCAGGTGGGCTGTATATAATACAGACCACCTTATAATTTTGTTAAAATTGCCTTTATTATTTATGAGTCAGGGATATGATTTCATGTCTCATATTTTGACGACATCATAATGGCCTTCAAACTCAAAATACGAATTTTCATATTATGACGTCAGCATATTTATGGAAAATTGAGTTTATCTGTGTAAAAATATATATTGATCAATTTTCTTCCAAATTTTGATATGTTGTAGCTAAAACAATTCTCTACAAGCCTAGTGACCACCATTTTTCATTTTGATGATGTCATCATAGTGAAAATTTCTATGAAAGGCCATAGGTCAGAAATTTCTTAAAGTGCGTGTTATGCCTATGGAAGGTGAATTTTGTTCACATCATGAACATTTTTTTTTTTTTTATAGCAGTATCTCTCTTATTTTTGCTCTATTTTGTCTCCAGGGAAAAAAATTAACATTTATTTTTTGGGGGGCTACTTTTCAAGCTTGCCTGCATAAAAGTAACATTCTAAAATTTGTTTTGCATTGAACTCTAAAATTTCTGGGGGCTCTTTGGGGCATTTCGGGGGCTATTTCGCCCCGACCCCCTTGTATTTTTTTCACTGTTTGTCTCAAATTTTAGTTGGAACAGCCCACCTATGCATGTTCCAAACAAGTACATGTCTAGTTTTATAATTCGTGTTTGATTGCTCATTTATTATAAAGGAAAGTTTTTTTTCCTGTGTGTGAAAAATTAAGAATACATTATTATTATTTTTGACAGACATCTGGTGGCCACCTGTTATTATTAAAGGTTATATCAGAGAGCAATCAGAGACTGTATGGAACCAAGCAATCTGGGTAAGTTTCTAGTGTATACACTGCATAGGCCTTTATTGGGTTTATAAACTTTATAATAAATAAGTGGTCAGGTGTAATATTTGGATTCAGAAACAGATATTTAAGGAGACACACTTGAAAATGACATACCGGTAGTGTGATGTTGGTGAACAACATGTCTTTTGAAATATTTAATTGATTATTGTCCAAATTATTTGAGAGATACATGTATGTTTACTGGCCTGGGTATGTACGGATTGGCAGTGTTTTCAAACAAGACACTGTATAATTATATGCAGTGCTCAGTTACATGTAGATCTTCATCTAAATCTTTCATTTTAAATTGTTGTTATAGCTGTATTTGACTGTTATAGCAAGCAACTCAATTTCATATGTTAATGTCTGTTCTTCATACTTTGGTCACATGTGCTTTTGTATCAGTATTTGTTTGTTTATTTTGTTTTGTTCATACTTTATTTGTCAGGATTAGAAGTGATTGTTGTCTTCAAAAGAATTCAATCATCCCCCCCCCCTCCCTAATACGTTTCATCCCTTTCTTAACTCATACTCTGATTGCTAAATTCTTTTTCATCTTTATTTTAGTTCATTTCATTACAAGAGGGATGTGACAGAGGCAGACACAATTGCAGTGCCAAGGCTTAAGATTACCTTTGGTGCTACATTCCAAGTTACTGGAGGTGTTGCATGGTAAGTTGCTGGACTCTTGTTTTCTTGTACTTTTGTGTCAATTATGTTGACTCTTTCACCATTGACTCTTTCGCCTGGGAAAAAAGAACATAGAGAGTACATAATTAAAACTGGATCTTTATTTAATTAAATGCAATTTACCTTGTAAAAACAGAGGAAACTAAAGAAAGATTGTATTTCACTGTTGCATATGATTTTTGTTCCTTTGTTTCGGTTGTTATTGATGTTGTTGCTGCTGTTGTTTTATAGATATCATTGCTGGAGTGTTAAAAGTTAGGACTTTTGTAAAAATAAGAGTACTTGAAATATAAAGGTAAAACTCATTATTTTTGCTGTCGTTGCTTTCTCTGTTCCTCAGCCTGTGCTGTCTGAAGGATGAGATGCTAGTAGCTACATGTCAAGGATTATTACGACGTATCACATGGGAAGGTATAGGAAGGAGTCATCTGGATGTCTCTATCAGGACTGTACCGTTCTCGCTTGACCTGCAGCAATCCAGAGGTAAACAAAGTCTAGACAAAGAAATGCTTGGATTGGAAAATGAATCTCATGATTCGTTCTTGTACACTGCAGAAAATCAATTTGAAAAACCATCACTTTTTTTTGTTGAAACTACCACTTACAGTACACTTTAGTTAATGGAAAAACCCATAAAAACCATCGATGTTTCCAATTATTCTTTCTTTTTTGTGTGAGTTGTGTGCATGCAGCACTTTCGCAGTGTACAAGTACCATATACAGTCAAACATGTCCAACTGGATAACTAGGATTTATTTGTACATGTATGTGGCCATAGTGTAAAACAATGGAATATTAAGATATCAGGCTTAGGGTTCTGAGCACTTAATGTAAATATGGGATACCAATACCACCTCAAGAATATTGTGGTTGTGGTTGGAAAGAAGCAAATTAACAATTTTCTGTTTGAATTGCGATTTTAAATATTTTCCATGTGAAAAAGAGACAGACAGAAACAGAGAAAAGGGGGAGAGAGAAGGAGGGAGAGAGAAAAAGAGAGAGAATGAGAGAGAGAGAGAGAAAGAGAGAGAGAGAGAGAAAGGCTTGAATACAAGGAAGGAAATGCAAATGTTACATTTGATACTTTTTAATGTTATTTGCTAATTATCGAGTGAAGTACACAGTTGTCATGATTCTTTGTAATCAATCATCATGCCTTCACACGCCATGCAGGCCAATTTGTAATTTAATGTTAAGTGTCAATATTTAAAGAAATAATAATAATGAAATTGGAATATTTAATTGTTTGTTAGTGCATCTTGCATGTATTGTACTGTATTCTGAATTGTATACACATGTGCATGCCTATATGATTTGTGCATAGTGCTTTATATGTCAGTTATATGACCTCCTACTGTGGTTTGATTTAGATTGTAAAGAATTTGTGGAACTAATGACAAATCATGGATTCATGGATAAGGTTCATATCTACTGGTACTTTTAATATGAAACCATGAAGCTTTGGAGAGAATGCTGCATAAAACGATCATGCACCCACTGTTAAAGAATTTGGAATTTGGTAATGTGTGTGCAGTATTGTAATATCTTCCCCTCCCCCCCCCCCCCTCCCCCTGAGAGTGAAATAGAAATGCATGAAATTGAAATGCTTTGCCCCACAAGGGCATGAACTCTGAATTGCGATATGATTAAACGTGCTTGTGGCTCTTATGTGATCTTACAGACGATTCGTAACTTCAATCCAATGTCCCATCTGCCAATTCCTATGTTCTACTTTCAAATGTTGTTGTTGTTTAATTTAGGCAAGTCAGTCAGTTTATGACCATTATTGCTGAATACTATAACAAATTTGTTTTGAATTCAAATTTACATGTACCTATAAACACTCACATAGTATGCATGTTATTTATAGCGTGTATATACAGTATATATGTTTGTTTCTTCATCTTAAAAAAAAAAAAGGGGGGGGGGGGAGATAATGATATCATGTAATAGATGGGTTTCTTGCAGCATATTTAAATCAAGTCTCTCTCTCCCTCTGTGTATTTCAGAGTCCTTACTGGATGATCCCAGCATACATTTCAAGCAGCTGAAGTACAGTGTCTTACTAGGAGGGTTCGCTGTGGTTCTCTCCGATGGAAGAGCTGCTTTCCTCACCTCAGAGAGTGCCAAGTTCTCACCTAAGGTTAATAACGTTTCTTATCGTTTTTCCCCCATCCCATGACAATCACCCTTGTGAATACATGTACCTTGATGTTTTGATGATTGCTTGTAGTAACGCAGTGTTCTAAATTGGGGTGATAGGGTCAATAGGCTCATTGGCACCTAGAACAAGCTTTGAATAAGAAAGTGCCAAGTTATTATATAAGGGTAATGCATCTCTTTTAATGAAAGATGTGTTTGTTTTGTAAAATCTTGTTATCATTATTATGATTATTTTATTATTTTATCCCAGTCTATTGTTTCTTTGGTAGCAAAGATATTATTGAGATAGAGATTTGTGGATAACAATCATTTAAATGTACTATTTAATACTTTTCTTATTTTGACATGATTTCTTCATTTTATCAGAAATATTGAATATTGATTATTTTTAATGGAAGACCCTACCCTTGTCTATAATTCAAATAATTTTGTAACCAATTTTCTCTGTTTGAAAGAAAAGATGAACAAAACAAAAATCAGGAATGAAAATGCAATGCATGTTGGACACACAGTCACTCTTCATCAACCAAAAGAGTTTTAGTGAAATGCCAATATGAGCCCACTTATCAGATAATTCAGGGGAATACGCAGTGAATTGGGTAAAAATCACTTAAATGTTTCACGGTCTGTCTCTCTGCATTTCTCTCTGTATGTCTGCCGTTATCTCTGTTGCTCTGCCTTTTCTCTGTCTTCTGTCTTGCAGTCTCTATTTGTTTTTCTCTCACTGTGTCAGTCTTGCTGTCTGTCTGTCCATTTGTCTGTCTGTCTGTCTGTCTGTCTTTGTCTCTCTCTTTGCCTCTCCTTGTCTGTTTTCACCGTATATGCCTCCCCTTTTCTCTCTCTCTCTCTCTCTCTCTCTCCCTCTCTCTCTCTTTCTCTCTCTTTCTCTTTCTCTCTCCCTCTCTCTCCCTACCACCCAACCCTTTTGTATTGTTCACTTTGCATACCGGTAGTTTTCTCCTTTCAGGTGAAGGTTATAGAAAGCTACTTAAAGTAGCTGCCTATTCATCATCTGTAATCTGATTGCGTATCCTTTTTGTGTGTGCCCTACTCAAACCCTTTATGCTATTTGTCAAGGGATTGCGTGATTTCTGATGGCCATACCCTGTTCATTTGTAGTATGTACTGTACTGCAGTGAGCGAAAGTGTATATTTTCCATAAATTGATTTGTGTACATGTACTCTGCTTTTTACAATGCACATAATTATGTATTCTGCAATGTGATTATACAATGCAATGTGATTCAAACTATACAATTTTTTCATCCATATCTGTTTGGATTATAATGTGCATTTAATTTAAAAGGGTATTATTGATCATATATTATATATAAACATGTTAATTATTGTACATTTGCATGAGTTACCTATCAAGATCATGCCCATTAACTACATATCTGCTTGTGCATTTTTTAATCACACCACACAAAACAGTTTAGAAATATATACAAAATAATGCAGGCAGATTACTACATGTACATGTACATGTACTTCAGCAAGTGCATGTTGCTATACTATACATGTAGACTGAAATGCGATGCATGATTCCACACTTAACATGCCTGACCCCACATGAACTTTTCACTGATATATACATACGGAATTCATTGAGCGCATCAATTGCTTACAATGAAAACAGTGCTAGATTCAATAAATATGCAGGTTTGTTTGCTTTGCATGGTAGTGTTGTGGAACTTATGAGGTGAAATTAATTTGAATTTTCTCGCTTAGATTAAACGGAGTAGCAAAATAAGTGCAATAAATTGCCTGTTGCACAGTTTACATGAATATCTACAAAACTTTAAATGGGCCTACAGCACATGTACATGTTCATGTTATCATATATACACTGATCAGTATTTGCAGTATATTAGAGATGAATCACATGTATACTGCATGCCACAAACATGTACAATAACATTCATGACTCGCATCAATATTCCTGTAAGCACAGTACACTATTTATAGTGACCCGGGCATTACAAATTCATTCATACTGATGAATGATTTAATTCTAGTTCATGTACACATATAGTACTGAATTAACCTTCAAAAAGTGTTTGTGAAACTGTTCATGTACCACATACACATAAATGTACTGTACATGTAGTAACACATACATACAGGGATTAAAGCCCCTCTAAAAAAAAAACGTAATTTGGGTTTTCTGTTGTACGCAGAAAACCTAAATTTGTATTCTTATCAATATTTTTTTTTTTTGGGGGGGGGGGGAAACTTTGCAGAGTGTGTTTTAAATCACATCCTCTTTCACATTATGATAACATTTAAGTGAAATTTGCCATCAAATTTTGGCAAACTTAGGGCTCCCAACACTTTAGATGGGCTTTAAGACTTATGAATTCATGCCCTTATCCTCAAGCTACATGCATATATGCATGTGTTGTTGAAGAACTAGGAAGCAATTTAAGTTGTTGAGTGTCTGTATTACGATTTGCAAATTTCTACTCCAATTGCACTTGAGGAGATATGAAGTGGGTAATTGGGTATTATGCTGTTCAGTGACAGTTGAAATGTGTGTTTCTGTTTCAATCTGTTTTGTTTTGTGTTACGTTTTACATCATGTGTTTTATTTTGTTTTTGTTTTTGTTGTTATTTACATGTATATACAGGTACAATTGTAGATATACAAATGTACACATACAGAAAGTGCAGATCAATAGTGAATATTGGCATGCATTTGAACAAAATCAATTGAGTACAACTTTACATACATGCACATACTTCATGTACATTTATATTATGGGGTGTAATACTCTTGGAGTGTGTAGGCTAAGGATGTTGGACTTACAGAGCCAAGGATATTAGATGCATCCTGCCACAGAACAAGCATATCAACTTGACTCTACTCATACATCTAGGGCCAAGCAAGTTAACATAAAGATATCCACAGGTACCGTGTAGTGCCTCAAAACTGATCTAAACTCTATTTAAAATAGTCAAAAATTGTGAGAAAACAGTACAGAAAATATGTTTTTTTAAACTATTTCAAGTCTGAAATATATTCTCATCAATCTTTTGTTCCAAATCTTAACCTGAAGCTGAGTATTTTTGTTTTCTTCTCTTTTTAATAAAAAATAGAGGGAAAATTTGTAGTCTAATTTTCTAGGAAATTCTGTAAAGTTATAGAGAAAGTAGCACCCCACTTCCCCTTAAGAAATTAAAATGCATGTATAAAATGACTTAAGGACATGATGCATTTTGTCTGGGGAGGCAGAACGGCTATCATCCTAGCGTACATGTACATGTACAGTATGTAAAGTACCATTACTCAAAGTCCTTCATCCTGTCTGTAGACGATGTACTGTATCTGCATGTACATGTAGATGTACATTTGACAATTGACATATGAATGAAAGATACTTGTACATCTGTATATAATGGCAAGGTCTTCTTAATTTACTATTGCACAGATGCCATACCCTTATACACAGTGTGAAAGTTAAGATCAATAGGCTTGTCTCATCAGCTCGAGTTTGCCAAATAACCTGCTATTCTAATTATCATGATAAAAAATTAACCAGTTAATTTGCGTCCTCATCAGCCTGCAGTTGCAATTAGCGGGATATCTGGTCAAGATAATATTTTGTTATGAGCGTATAGGGCTGGTGAAGACGCAATTTCGAGCTTCAGGATAATATCCCGAGTCTGGAAATAGCGGGTTATTTGGCAAACTTAAGCTGATGAAAACAGGCCCCATGTAGCCTATTACAAATTACGGTCATTGACACTTTTTGACAGACAGTTCCTTGCCAAGTTGTTACTACCCACAAATTAATAATAGCTAGCAGCTTGCCAAATAACCTGTCAACAATTTATTTGTAAAGCACAATCCACTGCTGCTGTAGTGATCTGGCCTATTTAATTGTGCCTTAAAGGTAGCATCTGCAATTTGCAGAAACCAAGCATATGTTTTTTCTCCCAAAATGTGCATGAACCCATCCAACAAGTTACTACATACATATGGAGATCACAAACACATGTCGAAGAAATGCGTCAATGAGATGTGATTTTATAACCTATAACTTGAAGAAGGAGAAGAAAAAAATTAATATTATACATCCCTGAGACATTTACACATAATCAGATTTCTATAAATGCTTAAAAATATACAGGTACAAACTAAGTACACTTCACTTTACATGCTACATGTACATGTAAGTACACTTCACCCTTACTAGAAATAAGATAAATTTCTACCGTACACAGTGTAGTGCAGTCATGTGTTTAAAAACAACAATGATATTCTGAACTACACATCTCTAGTATACTGCCTTCTTTATTGTATTGCATGCACCATACTAGTGCAAAGTGGTTGAAGTGGATATGCACGTGGTGATCGATTTCTACTGGAAAATGTGATATCAGCGACAGGTGTTGAAGATGCGACTTGAATCACCTGACATCCAAATACACATCTGTATTGTATTGACCTACATTTAAACCTATATTGTACATAGCCATCAGCCATTGATTGTAGTAATTTCTTTTGCTATCTCTTTAACAGCAACAGGGACATTTCAATGTAACATCTACATGTACTGGTGCAAGAAACCTTGATAAAATTGACAAAATAATGTATAGATATTTGATAGGCACACATGCACCATGTACAAAGAACTTTAATATCTGAGTATTTACTTGTAGCTTTATAAAGATACATACAGTAAATGTGAAAGCCTATTAAACCTGTCAAGATTTAATTGATACTGACTGTAAAATGTGAAATAAAATCTAATGACGTCATCTATCTTACAATATATGTGTAGATTGATTGATTGTTTGAGTTGATTCTGTTGCCTATTTCCTGTATCACTGTATTGATTTACATCTCTCTTTTTCTTTAACTGTTTTATACAGGGTGTACATGCGGTATGGGCGCCAGATGTCTCTAATGCTACATGTGTCGCCATCAATCATAAATTCAGGCTCATCGTATTTGGATTAGCAAAGTAAGTATCTAAAGTGGATTCGTCTTTCTTACGTCATTCTACCCCATTAACATTGCATGTATACTGCGATGTGACTTTCTCTGTCAGTCTCTCTCCTTTCCTCCCCCCCCTGCTCTCTCTCTCCCTCTCTCTCTCTCTCTCTCCCTCTCTCTCTCTCTCCCTCTCTCCCTCTCTCTCTCTCTCTCTCTCTCTCCCCCTCTCTCTCTCTCTCTCTCTCTTTCTCTTTCTCTTTCTCTCTCTGTATCTGTATCTGTTTCTATCTATCTACTCGTCTATCTTTCTGTCTCCTGCTCTTTTCCTCTCTATTGACCTGTATTATTTCTTGCATAAATCTATACTTTTTATACATATACATGTACACTGTATGATATGCATTTTTTTTTCAGTCTCAATATTTTCATTTGACTGTTTGTTTGTATATCCGAAACTCTACATCACATTATTTCCTGTTTTGCTTTCAGTGGTTTTAGGTTACTTATAGGTTAAGAGCAGGAAAAGGGAAAAGGAACCTTTGAAGAAAAAGTACAATAGACAAAGAAAATCTTAGGAATGATACACTAAACACACAAATGATGTACACACACAATCTGAAAAGGACTTTGAACAGCAGTTGTAAAATATTTGTATGTGTTTCAAAAATTGTGAAATGTAAATGCAAATGTGTACACCACTTGTGGGATCTTTTCCCTCCTGGATTTGTTCAGAAATCTTGGTGTTATCAAGAATCAGAAGATGGCTATTTTGTTTGTATACATGTAAATCTTGAAATCTGCATCGGTCCTAATGCCAAACATTCATTTTAGTTTTCTTGTGTGCATTTTACTTTTGATACCTTGCAATGAATTTGAATCTCTTTTTGAAATGTTGCATACAGTAGGTATACCTTTTCAGTTTGAGTATATACAGTGTATATGTAGGAATTTGAAACCATGATTTGTTGTATCTATATTGCAGTGGTCAGGGCATAGTGTTTGCCGTGGATGAAATCACAGGAGCGCTCCTTGTTTCTCACAGACTTACTCTCTCTACCAGTGATTTCCCAGGTAAGAATAACATCTACTTTCAATATATTGGCTGGTATGCACAAAAAGCAACTAATGTTTTTCTGGGTTTAACCCTTCATATGCCACACAAATAATCTCCCTGTACCACATAGAAGTTATCATGTTGAAGATGTAGGAAAAGCTTCAAAATTGTTTAACTGTTTTCTCTGTAAGACTTGTATCCAGGTGTTAAAAGGGTTGTAATGGAGCTCATCAAGACCACAGATAGGTAATTTTGCTTAGCCATTGTATTGCACAAAGCAATCCCTCTGTCACTTGTTGTCTATTTTTTGTGCAACGGAAGTTGCACAAATCTTGACAAAGTGGGTAGATTTATCTAGTCCTGTGCTTACGGAGCATAAACAGGATAACTCCTTCATCATGTAAGAAACTCAAATTCTGTTAATAAATAAATCAATTTACAAGTAAAATTATTTCATCATAGAAGAATGTTCCCGTTTTCTTATGATTAATTAACTTTAAAAAGTAACTGGTACAAATAACTTCTGTTGGTAATTACACCTATTGTGTCCTTATTCACTGTAACCTGTTTCCAGAGGGCTGCCAAGCAGCTGGAGCTGTGACGTCGTTACGATGGACACCAGAGGGCAGTGCACTGATCTTGTCATGGCTGAAGGGTGGTTTCTCGCTATGGAGCACCTTCGGAGCTTTACTTATGTGTACTCTAGGAGGGGATTTCTGGTAGGTAGACATTGATTTGTGTAACACAGTAATCATTCAAACATGGTGCCTTGGTATGAACCTAGTGCCTACATCACTGTGGATACATCACTAGACCGTATATCACATACAGTGTAGTTTGTGTTTTGAGTTGTTTGGCAAGAAAGTAATCTACAATTGCCACTCTCTACAGGAGAGACAAGAGTTTTTAGGCAGGAAAGGATGGATGGTGGATGGATATAAAGATGGATTAAAGAGAGAGAAAGAGAGATAAAGAGCTGGAGATAAAGCTTTATCAAGTTGATAATCTGCTCTAATCCCGATCCCCATTGTGAAGGACTAGGACTAGAGTACTTTTTCGTAAACATGAGCTCAGTATACTATAGGCATTCTTCCGTTACCGTGAATTTCTTCCTTTGATGACTGATAATTGGATATTATTAACTACTCAGTGAAGTGTATTCCTATTATTGGTCCAGAGGTCCTTACTGTATTACACTTCATGGTTTACTACACACTGTTATGTATACTTGCTACAATAAAGGTCTTTTTGAAAAGTCTTGTTGATTCCAATAAAATAAGGTTTGTTGACATATGACATAGTTTATGGAAGCATTTCTTTTTTGAATAATTATTATTGAGTAAAGGAATAGCAGATTGGGTGAGAAAAATGAACCTGTTTGTAACAAAGTCCACCTAAGGGGTACTCACTTAATCAGAGTTCTGAGATACAGCAATGTGAGGCATAATTCACTTATGACAGTTTATTTTGCCTCAACAGGTTTTTGAGGCTGTTTACCCCATTTTATAAGAATGAGGTTTTAGACTAGCGTACCGCCTGTATCCATGGTCTTAATAAATATGCAATGCCGTCCTTTCTGTACTGTATGGAAGACTAAGAAAGAAAGTACCCCCCCACCCCCCCCCCCCCCCCCTCCCAAGGTGTAATAGTGCAGGTTGTGATTTATCAAGAGTTGGAGTTTACTGTTGAAAGTAACTCTTGACATGAATGGCTATATGACGCCCATCAAAGGGCATAAGTGTATATATAGCTCTGTTGTGTTTGAGTACCTAGTAGACTGAAGTGACAGATGTGCCGTATGATAGGTTTACTTTCCTGGCCATTGTGTTTATTCTGCTCTCTGTCTGTTGATATAGGTAAACATTGGAGGGTAGAATAATACAAGATCTGACCTCTTATTGCCTGATGACAGAGCATAATGACAGAGACATGGAAGGCTTCCAAAAAATATCACTTCAAGATGTGTTAGAAATTATCCTACTAGTGTATTCTACTTGTACATACTTTTTAGTATTCTGATTTGGTATACATAAAGAATCTATTCAGTGCTTGTCTTAATCAATTCTATGCACATGGGTCTGTATTTTACTAATGCAGTTAAACCTGACCCGGAGTCTAATATCACATTCAACAAAAGTAAAACTTAGACCTCGGACTAACTTCCTTTAATTCGTACCTAATCCTGAACCCTGCACGGATTTAAATATTAATACAATACGGGCCGGGTTTTCATCTCCATGTTTTGTTTTCAATGTTGTTTTTTTTTCTTTTGCTGTTTTTGTTTAGTATGTATCAATGACATTTTATCATTTACGTACTACATGTATACACCTGCATTTATGTCTTATTCATTATATGCCTGTTACTTGTGATCACGTTATTTCAAGAACCCATAGATGGATTCCCGCCAAACTTGGGTCATGTATGTATCTTGCAGAGCCAATGCACTGATTAGATTTTGGGGTCACGAGATCCAAGGTCAAAGGTCACAGGGCTCATTATGTATGCAAAATAGCTTGTGATCGCGTTATCTCATGAACCCATTCATGGATTCCCGCCAAACTTGGGTCATGTATGTACCTTGCAGAGCCAATGAACTGATTAGATTTTGGGGTCTTGAGATCCATGGTCAAAGGTCACAGGGCTCATTATGTATTCAAAAATAGCTTGTGATCGCTTTATCTCAAGAACCCATTGATGGATTCCAGCCAAAGTTGGGTCATGTATTTATCTTGCAGAGCCAATGAGCGGATTAAATTTTGGGGTAACGATGTCAAAGGTCACAGGGCTCATTATGTATGCATAAATAGCTCGCTTCTGTTTTGGTTTGTAAAATTGCTCCATGGCGGAGGCATCATTTTCGACTGCGCGCGATCGAAGGGCCATCTAGTTTAAATTAAGATTTGTAGAAAGAATGAGGTTTTGATGTCAGAGCGTACATAATGAGATGGAACAATTTACCATTCATGTATAAAGCCTTTATTTGCAGTGGTCTTAACAGTCAATAAAGTAATTTTTACTTGTACCTGAATGGCACGATTGCTTATCGTGTAAGCAGGGGAGGGAGTGGCGGAGATGATTGGAAGTGTGTGTGTGTATAACACTTTTCTTTTTACCGTTAATAATATTTACTGTTGTTTGAGTTAATTTGTGAATTATTTTGTTTTTGTTTTTCTAGCCCTGATCCCTCCAGATCAAAGATACTGAGGATACAGTCAATGGTAAGAGAGCGTTGTGTTCCTCATTCATATTTGTCTTGAAATACATCATATTCTTTAGGCATTCCTCCTTATACCTCTTCTTTTCTTCCCTTTCCTACATATTTGTTCTTCCTGATTTTGTCTCGCCTACGTAGCAAAAAGCGAGACATAGGCGCCACTTTTCCGGTGACGGCGACGGCGATGGCGGCGTCAACATCAAAAACTTAACCTAAGGTTAAGTTTTTGAGTTTTTGATATAATTTTTATAAGTATAAGTATAAAGTATAAGTTCTTAGTCAATGAAACTTGGACTATAGGGTAATCAAGGATCCCCAGTCATGTGAGTATAATTTCAGATCACAAAGTCAAGGTCAAAGGTCATTTCAGGTCAACAGACTTGGACTATGTTGTAGCATCATCATCAAAAACTTAACCTAAGGTTAAGTTTTTGAACATTACGAAAATTCCTCGCTAGAGAAATTACGACTTTAGTGTCCCTAACTCGGAAATTGTCTCATAGAGTTTGAAAACGAGCCCGGAGAAGGACCTCCCGATCTTATCACTTTCCTAATCCATTGCCAACGACGCGCTGATAAGACCCGTCAACAGAGTCTGGCTGAAGAGAAAATGTGAAGAAAAAAATCCCAAAGTTACACAAATCTGTGTTTTTTTCTCCCGAAATTTGTTCTTAGGGATTCATTTACCCCCAAAAACTTCAAAGCACAAAAATCGGGCAGGTAATACCGGAGATATGATATTGATACTCACGAACAAATTTCAGATTTGACTCACTTCAGGAAACTTTTCCCCCTTCTTCTCGCGGAGAGAGCTGTCAATCACGTTTCGACCGGCTGTTTAGCAGCTGTATCGGTTTAAGCCCTCTTAGTATGACTGACCAGCTTGTATGACTGCGCATATCAGTGCACATGTCCTTTTGATTCATGTTTTATTTTGAATTTGATTTTTTAACCAGAAATTTGAAAATGAACTGCTACCTCAAATGCAATTTTGAACGGGGAAAAATGAACCAGCAAAAGCGGAGATAAATATGAGATCGTGCGCTCTGCCGACGCTGCTCAGCCTACGCTTGAGCGCAGATTGTCGCTTAGACATACGGGTCTTTTCCGAGTTTCGTCCAATTTTCTAGCGAGGCACTACGTGTACGTTCTTCCCTCGCTGTAGCACGTACGGTCTCGTTAGAAAACTGTATGCGTAAGTGCACTGCGTGCGCCGGCATCAGAATCAAACTCGGAGAAGGTTGTGTGACAATTTTTTTTGCTTCATTTAATTATTCGAGAAAGAAGGCGATTCGATGTAGGCCTACCGTTCTCGACTCTAAATCCTTGTCTTAAATATTATCCCCCCCCCCCTCCCGCCCTTTGCGCGGAAGCTTCAACGCTTCATGTTCGTCGTACCATTCTCGACTCTAAATCCTTGTCTTAAATAAGACCCCACCCCCCCCTCCCGCGCTTTTAACGTTTCATTTTGAGAAAGAAGACGATTCTTTGTACCGTTCTCGACTCTACCCGGGCACAGCGCAAAAACTTTGACGTTTTATCAATAATTGAGAAAGACAATTCATTGTACTGTTCTCGAATCGTAATTCTTGTCTAAATTGCGCCCCCCCCCCCTCCCCAGGGGCGAATCCTGCCGGCGGCAGGGGGGGGGGGGGGGCCATGTCTTGATAATTTTTTTTTTTTTTTTTTTTTTTTTTTGGGGGGGGGGGGGGGGGGGGGTCCATTTTTTTGAGGGAAATTTGTTGCGCCGACTAAGCCGGCCGGTGAATCAGCGGGGGGGGGGGGGGGGCAGATTCTATATATATTTTTCGGGGGGGCGCTTTTTTTCTTTTGTTTAAAAAAAGGTAAAATTTACGTTACTATCCTATTTTTTAAAACCGTTTTGGGGGACTAGGGGGTAGCCGGGTCGGTAAAATCGGCCCGTGGATCCGCGCCTGCCCTCCCCCCCCCAACTCACGCGCAAAGCGCTGAAGCTTTGACGTTTCATTAAATTATTAGAGAAAGAAGACGATTCGTTGTACCGTTCTCGAATCTTAATTCTTGTCTGAATTCAGCCCTCCCCCCCCCCTCCCGCGCATTGCGCGGAAGCGTCAACGATTAATATAATTATTCGAGAAAGAAGATGATTCGTCGTACCGTTCCCGACTCTAAATCCTTGTCTTAAATACCCCCCCCCTCCTGCCCGCGCTTTTAACGCTTTATTTAATTTTTCGAGAAAGAAGACGATTCGTTGTACCGTTTTCGAATCTTAATTCTTGTCTGAATTCAGCCCTCCCCCCTCCACTCACGCGCAAAGCGCGAAAGCTTTGAAGTTTCATTAAATCATTAGACAAAGAAGACGATTCGTTGTACCGTTCTCGACTATAAATCCTTGTCTTGAATAAGATCCCCCCCCCTCCCGCGCTTTTAACGCTTCATTTAATTATTTGAGAAAGAAGACGATTCGTTGTACCGTTCTCGACTCTCAATTCTTGTCTTAATTACATCCCCTCCCACTCTCGCACAAAGCGTGGAAATTGAATTGTTTTCGCTTTTCTCTATTTATAATTCTCAAGCGCTGATGACATTGGCATTCATTTTCTTCATTCATTTTCTTTACTTTCCGTTGGCTTACTTTTTGTAATAAAGCCGGTAACATCAGCGATATTTTAATTGTTTTCGCTTCGCTCTCTCCCGCGATCCGTCTCTCTTTATATATTGCTCAAGCGCTTAATTATATTGACATTCATTTTCTTCATTCGTTTCTTTCTTTCCGTTGCTTACTTTTTGTCATGATAGACGGTAGTAACATCAGCCAAATTGAATTGTTTTCGCTTCTCTCGATCTCCCGCAATCTGTCTCTCTTCATAATTCTCAAGCGATGGTGATATAAGATCTCATGTTTTCGCTTTATTTCTTTCTTTCCGTTGGTTTACTTTTTTCATAATAGACGGTAACATCAGGGAAATTAAATTGTTTTTGCTTGTCTCTCTCCAGCGATCTGTATCTCTTTATGATTCTCAAGCGCTGGTGATATTGAAATTAGTTTTTTCTCCATTCATTTCTATTTTTCCGTTGGCTTACTTATTTCATAATAGACGGTAACATCAGCTATTGAATTTTTTCGCTTCTCTCGATCTCCCGCGATCTGTCTCTCTTTAAAATTCTCAAGCGCTGATGATATTGGCATTCATTTTCTTTACTTTCCGTTGGCTTACTTTTTGTAATAAAGCCGGTAACATCAGCGATATTTTAATTGTTTTCGCTTCGCTCTCTCTCGCGATCCGTCTCTCTTTTATTGCTCAAGCGCTATTATTGTTATATTGACTTTCATTTTCTTCATTCATTTCTTTCTTTCCGTTGCTTTACTTTTTGTCATGATAGACGGTAGTTACATCAGCCAAATTATTTTTTTTTCGCTTCTCTCGATCTCCTGCAATCTGTCTCTCTTCATAATTCTCAAGCGATGGTGATATTGGAATTCATTTTCTTCATTCATTTCTTTCTTTCCGGTGGCAAACTTTTTGTCATGAAGCCGTTTACATCAGCGACATTGAATTGTTTTCGCTTCTCTCTTTCCCGCTATCTGTCTCTCTTTATATTTTCCAAGTGCTTATTATTGTGATATTGGCATTCATTTTCTTCTTCCATTTCTTTCTTTTCGTTGGCTGACTTTTTGTCATAAATCATAATAGAAGGTAAACATGAGCTAAATTGAATTGTTTTCGCTTCTCTCTCCAGCGATCTGCGTTCATTTTCTTCATTCATTTCTTTCTTTCTGTTGGCTTACTATTTGTCATATAAAATCCGGTAACATTAGCTTAATTGAATTGTTTTCGCTTCTCGATCTCCTGAGACATGTCTCTCTTTATATTTCACAAGCGCTGGTGTTGTAGGCATTCATTTCCTTCATTCATTTCTTTTTTTCCGTTGGCATAATTTGTGTAATGAAAGCCGGTAACAGCGATATTGAAATGTTTTTGCTTCTATTTCTCCTGCAATCTGTCTCAAGCGCCGGTGATATTGACGTTTATTTCCTTCATTCATTTCTTTCTTTCGGAATGCAACGTCTCGTAAATATGCTAATAACACTTATTGTTCGACTTGAGTTCCAAAGTTGCCAGTTGCTGGTACCACATCTAATATACTTTTCGCAGGTCCATGCTGAAACCAATAATTATTGTCTGAATTCTAGACTAACCCAACTCTCCAGGCTCACCTAAATGTACGCAAGCTCTGTTGATACAGGGATTAAGTCCTTAATAGCCTTGTATTGACAGAGGGATAAGTTCACCAGCAGATAAGGAAGGGTCTTGTTTACTTAATGATAATGACTATATCAAAGTGCTTAAGCCCAAACTAAAGTCTATGAGACAATTCACTTAATTTTCTCTAACGGAGAGTTTTCGTCATGAATTTTTTATATAATTTTGAAAGTATAAGTTCTTAGTCAATGAAACTTGGACTATAGGGTTATCAAGTCTCCCCAATCATGTGAGTAGAATTTCAGGTCACTAAGTTAAGGTCAAAGGTCATTTAAGGTCAACAAACTTAGACTTTGTTGTGGCATCAACATCAAGATTTTCAAAATGCTTCTTCTTCGTTATTTTTCAACCGATTTTGATTCTAATTGTTTCATATGATAGGGCTAGGAGGGGGATTTGAAATTTCTACACAGAATCGTGAAATTCATTACCTATGCTAATTTATGCAAATTTATTCGAAATCACAAAAAAAAGCTTCTTCTCCTTCATTTCTCGACCGATTTTGATTTGGTTTGCTTTATATCGTAGAGCTAACTTTGGTACACTATTCTTCTACACAGAATTTTGAAATTGTTGTCCATTAATTAATTATGGTAATTTATGCAAGTTTATTCCAAAAATAACAAAAATTGCTTCTTTTCCCTCATTTCTTGACTGATTTTCATCAAATTTTTATTTTTTGACCAGTTCAAAAGTGTACCACATAAAATTTACGATATTTGTTGTTGCGAGATGCGGATGAGCGCTACGTCATTGACGTTCTGGTTTATTATATTGAATTGCGTTATGCAGGCGAGACCGCCGAGAGCGTTTCCCTTGTTTTGTCATTCTGCCGCTTATGCTTCAGTTTCTTGTGATATTTCTGCTTCCTTTTCTTCATTTTCTACTCTTCTTTTTCTTTGTTTTCTTCTTTGCCTTTTCTCTACAGTGTATTTCTTGTTCTCATTTTCTTTCCTTCGTCATCTTTCCTTACCAATTTATTCTCCCTTGATATTGAGCATTCAGATCTTTATACTTGTATAGTATTTGTTTTTACTTGATGTTTTCGACAGAAAAGGAAAGCTTGATATAAACATACCACAAGTGCAAAAGGGAAATAGGCTGTATTGTTATTATCATTGATATGTGATTGCGATGGTATGATTGAAGGGCCCTCAGGAAGAACAGTATTAATACTGATGAGGCTACCCTGGTAAAACGAGATACATTATTATTATTTTTGAACAAAAATGGGGGGGGGGATGCTAACTGGAGATAGAAAGTATTGCTATCGCTGCTGAGATGTATTGTACAGCCAAACCTGCTTTACTGACCACCTGTCTACAAAGACCACTTTTTGTGTTTCCCTTGGACAGGTTTGACTGTATGTGTATTTTTACCCCTATATATACACCACTAGTAGTTAATCATTCAAATTGTGAAGGGAAAACAAATAATAAATTGCTGAATGTCTTCATCTGGTTGATATTTCCTTTTTTTTCATTGTCATTTCTTCTCCTATCTGTATAGGAATGGGGACCAGAAGGCTACAACCTGTGGGCCACCAAGAAATCATTGGATGATAAACAGTCACATGACGAGTCACCTGATACCAAAGGAAACCTCATTCAACTCTCATTTGTAAAGAGTGCCATTGCAATGAACCCTTGTATGGTAAGTAAGGATTCATTCATACTGTTACGATAAAATATAGTCACTTGATACCAGAGCAAGTGCAAGGGTAATATTGTATGTTGGAATCAGATTTCACCTTGTCTGCGTACAAAGATGACAGGTGTAATTTATTATCTTCCACTTTAAAAAATAAGAATCTACTTGGCATTGTTTGCAAGTATTTCAAAGACAGAGAAATGGGCATTCATTGGGGTAGAGCTAGGAAATAATTGTGACTCATAATATTCAAATTTTAATTGAATCATCAGAAGGTGATTTGAAGATGCTCCACTTGACACTCAAGAACCTAGCTGTGACAATTTGGATATTAATGCCTCTTTTTCAATGCCATACACAGGGATGCCAGTTTTCAGGCAATAGCCTGAATTCAGGCCCTGGCGAGTTATTTGCATAGTTTAGGCTTTTTTGTGTACAAAATAGCTCATTCTAGGTGATTTTCAGGCCCTCTGATCAATTCTAACTGGCATGGTTTGATGAATTGGTACCCCACTCAAGTCTAGGGATTAAAAAGTGGTATTTTCTAATAATCTTGTTATGAAAGATTCCCACAAGCCATATAAATATGTTTAAATACATGCATCAAAATGAAAATGAGATATTAAGAGTTGAAGTGACTTGGTAACATTGCCTCAGATTCTGAAACAAAATCCTGGATTTAGCTCATGCTGCAATCATAATTATAAACCTTTAGGTCAGTCAGGTATCCAATGACTTTTACAAGCTGATCGCCTGTTTGATTATCAAGATATTTATGATTGGGAATTGAAATTTCATTTTTCGTTTTCCTAACAGTTTTTATAAGTCTATTGGGGAAAAAGATTTGAACTTTTTTTAGGCACTTTATGATCATTTTGAAGGGCAATTTGTTTAGGACTTCAATATTACACCATATCACAGTCACTGAAAACAAGTAGGGCCATGCATCTCAGATTTAACATTGTTAAACGATCCCTGTAATGAAAGTTTACACTTGAATTTTTTTTTACTCTTCCGATGACAGGCTAATTGCGAGCATCTTCTGCTTCAAGGAGAGAGGCACATCTATTTGAGCTGTGAAGGGACGGTAGTGAAGGCAACAAGTCAACCAGACCTTACTGCTGACCTACCAAATCCACCTGTTATCAATGGTACAAGTAAGTGAAAGCCAAATTTCTTGTTCAGTGAAGTTATACATGGCAGTGGAGAGCAGTGTAGCTCTAGAGTAGTAAAATGAAATCCTCAACATTTGGTGAGAAATCTGAATTTTACAATGGCAAATCAAAACAAGCTTGTAAGAACAAAAGAGCATGTTTATACACTTGTCCTTATCAAGAATAGTAACACAGATCATACTGTACAATAGTGATTTTATTAAAGTGCAAAAGTCTTATTTAAGGATTTAATCGTTGATAGGTTTTCTTGAGTTCTCAGAAGGAAACTGCACATCATGAGAAAGTATTTTATCTTGCTTTAAATGTGTATTTTAAAAAATGTAAAGAAGAGAAAACTTGTTGAATATTGTATGAAGAAAAAAAACTCCATGGAGATGTGCTCAAAATTAGCTTCCGTACATTTCCTCTTTGTAATTTTTGAGCATATTTGATCATATTAATGATTTTATTATTTTGCTATTGTTATTATTATACAATTTTTTTGTTTGCTTGTTTTATTTGACTGTATTTAAGGTTATCTGAATATTTCCCTTGTATTATGTTTTCATGTTAAGCACCGTATATAGGAACCAGAACTTAACCTTATAGATTTTCAAATTATGAACAATTTGTTATATTATTTTTTTTTTCCAGGTACAGGGAATGCAGCATGTAGTAGTAACATCCTAGCTGGAAACAAACAATGGCATTGTATACAGATACCTCAGAATTACTTGGACAGTAATTGGCCTATCAAGGTAAGAAAGCTGAACTGTAGATTAACAGAAACTGTTTTTGTAGTTTCCTAAGGCTCTCGTTTCATGATTTCAGGATGCCAACTGGACAATGTAGAGAATTGCTGACAACGTTACCATGTTTAATCTCTGACAGCCATTAACTATAAGTTTGCACAAATTCTTATGAAACAATTTTTGTTTGCTTATCTGACCAAATAGGCAGGATCTTCAGATTGTCTGACATACTTCTATATCTTATAAGTTTCATTTCACTCCATTTCTTGGATATCATCTCTAGAGATTTTATGAATTTTATTTAGCTCCATTTCTTTGATATATTTGTTTTTCTGGAGATTCAACCTCCCTTATTAGCCAAGATTTATCATCAAAATATATGAATCTTATTTGTTTACATCGTGATTTGTTTCCATTGTTTACAGCATGCTAGCGTTGACAGGACAGGTCACTACATAGCAGTGGCAGGTCGGTATGGACTGGCACACTGCTCTCCTTCGGGTAAGAGATGGAAGATCTTTGGCAACGTGACCCAGGAGAGAGACATATCTGTGACCGGTGGGTTGTGCTGGTGGAAAGACTTCATCATCGCTGCCTGCTTCAATCACTATGAAAGCAGAGAGGAGGTTAGTTTGATGTGTTCTTAAAGAAGGGGGAGGTGGGAGTGGGAGATAAAACTTGGAACTGTGAGAAGCCTGTCATACTACACCTTTCCAAACCCATCTTCGACTCCAAACAAACGTGTAACTTTTTTTACCTTCTGTTTTAATAATAAAAATAATAATTGTTTGTTTCTATATAGCGCTTTTCAGGAGCGTTAAGGCGTAATATATTTTTGTACAGCCTATTTTGTCCATCTCAAACCAGAATTCTAAAATCATATACATTATATCTTTCAATTGAAATGTTTTTTATGAAGGTCATTAACTCTGTAGAAGTATGTTTCTCTACATTCAATAACCGATTAGTATGTTGAGTTCCGCTGTAATCGGTGAGAAACTCATGGAATATTCTAATAAGCCTGGTAACCTAACTAATGGAATTCATTGTCTTTACAAGGATTTATACATTGTTTTATCCCATTAATTTTTTCATTCCAATTTGTAGATCCGGGTATATCCTCGTGCAAGCAATCTTGACAATGCCTTTGCCTTCACTGTCAAGGTTCCATTTCAAGTACTGCTGTTGAATGTGTTCAAAGACCTACTCATAGTCTTCTGTGCAGACTATCATATATCACTCTTTAGCTGCGAGAGAAAGGAAGGTCCATCAAGTGAGTTATCTCTGTAATTCATCAGATATTCTCATCAGATCAATTGTTTGAAGTTGATGTAAACCAAATTGTTAAGCTATTTTCAGGTCAAACATGATTAAAAACATGCTAATAATTTTATGCTTATTTGCACAATGTCAAATGTTAGCTGGCTGCTTTTGAACCGGCAAGTGTGTATTTTGTTTAGCGAGAACAATTAGTAGAAGTGAAGTTATCCATATAGAAATAGTAATAGTCTGTTGGTCGATGTCAGATTTTATTTGAGATCTAGCAGATCATTCCTGCTCAACCTTCCCACAATAACAACAAAAACAGCAAAACAAAACAATAAAAAGACAAAAAAGCAATTTGATAACAAACAAAATATTTTTGAAATATTTTTATATAATTCAATTAATGAAGAGCATTCCTCTTTCTTTCTTTCTTTCTTCACCATCTTTTCTCAGGTTCTACTGCAACTCTAACCAGGATACAGGACCTTTCACTCGCCAACTTTGTTCCTCATCCGTCCTCTCTCATCTCACTTACTCTCACATCTCTCAGGTCGGAATCAGGTAAGTCGTGTAGCATGGCAACCGTCTAAAAATGCTTGCATTCGTTCATGTTGTATTGCCTGATTCATGTATGATGACGTATCATTACGTTGATGTTAAATAACGAAATCTAGACATATCTATCATATCTGGCAGGAATTAATTCCTTGAAATGCTAGAGCGCCGTAATGGCAGCCGTGCTAAAGCCAGGGTAATAACTGCGGAGCGCCAGGAGTGTTATGTCTGACAGACATGAGAGCTATACAAGAATCCACTATTATTATATCTCACATGCTTTACTCTGCTCTTCAGCTTTCAAATGAAAAAGAAGGTATTAGAATTCCCCTTGCAGCAACATTATTGTGTAGGTAGGGGCACATTGATCACTTCAAACGATTTCAGTCGAGATTTGAGAGTTGTCTCTTTCTCAACCAAGGTGTAGTAACGGTTAGCGCAAAGGGTAAAATTCTTTAATAGTTACTACATCTTGGGCTATAGCCAAGATAATAATATTGTTGTAATTTGCAGGGTTGGGAGTTTAACTGTATGATAGACGAGAGAGTTATATAAGTCGCCAGTGTCATTATCAGGAGTAATAGTTTTATTAAAGTGACTCAGTAACATTGCCTCAGATTCTGAAATTAAATCCTGGATTTAGCTCATGCTGCAATCATGATTATAAACTTTTAGGTCAGTCAGGAATCCCATGACTTTTACAAGCCGAGCACCTGCCTGATTATCAAGATATTTATGATTGGAAATCGAAATTTCCTTTTTTGTTTCCTAACGGTTTTTATAAAACTACAGTCTATTGGGGAAAATGAGTATGGTAAAACCGGTCACGCAAAGATTTTTACTTTTTTGAGGCACTTCATGATCATTTTGAAGGGCAATTTGTGTATGGCTTCAATATTACACCATATCACAGACACTGATAACACGTATGGCCATGCATCTCAGATTTAACATTGTTAAGCCTTTCTTTACATTTTTTCTATGATTTCAGTGTCTCCCAAATCGTTCAATCAGAGCAGTGAGGCTGAGAGTCTGATCATCAATGTCGCTGGTCGTGTATTGATGCTACAGAGAGATCGCTCTAAGGCACCCTCACCCACCAACGATTATCATGACAGGAGGAAAAGCAAAGATGCTGAGGTGAGGAACATGTCCACAGACCATTATATCTCTTATGAGATGGTCATTTCACATTTTGTGGTTTGGCTCAAGAATTTATGATTTAGAGCCCTTGAAAGATACCAGATACTCGAGTAGAAAGGGCAAAAATTTATTCACATTTTCTGTCCATTTATGTTTTATGACTATGTTGCGGTTGATGCCAGGAATTTGAAAACGAAAAAAAAACCCTTTGAAGTCCTTAAATTGGCAAGAGATTAAAAATCCAAGTGTCGTATGGGTACCAGTAGGAAGGACTTCTTTGATAGCGGTGAGCACCAAACTTAGTAGCCTAGCTTAGGTAATATTGCAGTGCCTTGAGCATCTTGCTTGGTGGATATGACTAACAATAATATCAAATATGTTTATGTGTTTTATGTGTGTACGGTAGATTCCTTTCGTTGCGCCCATCATCCTTGCCTCATCAGTAGAAAGCATGTGGACCACATCCCGGTCTAGCGCCAGCAAACCTCATCTCGTGGAAGCACTCTGGCTGGGATGCGGAGCTGCAGGCATGAAGGTATGTCATGTTCACTTACAATCTTACTAGCTTCAGAACATCATGTACATGTGTGAAACAAAGATGTCTATGTCAATCTAAATTGAGAGAACAAATACTTAGAGAAACTTAGGGAAATATTGTGATGGTGGTTCCATGAAAAGTTACAACAGGACCTGATGGTTTTTAGTGTTTCCTGTAAAATGACCTTTATACATTCATAGTAAATTGAGTTTGACATTCACTGCTCTTAATTAATTGTTCTGTCAACTGGAATTAATGTAATCACTACTCTTCATTTTCCATATTACACTATGAATATGACAGACAAAGAAAGCGGACAAAATTTACAGTTCCTCAGGTAGACAAAGGAACATCCTTTCACTGCTATTATGTAAAAATGTGTAGAACAGGTGTCACATGCATATTCACCTGTTCTACACATTTTTACATAATAGCAGTGAAGGGATGTTCCTTTGTCTACATGAGAAACTGTATATTTTGTCCGCTTTCTTTGTCTGTCAATTCATAGTGTTAGCACTGTATTTAAGTTGTATTGTACATGAGCTTTTTTCTCCCTCCTTTATACAAAAAAAGTGGACAAATTCAAAGCTTTGGTTATTTTGTTTTCTTTTCATCTTCATGCCCAGCCATCTCTTGAATGTAAAGACAGAGAAAGATTTTGCATCAAGACATTTTAGTACATTGCTTGTGGATTTGGACTTTGGGAGAAAGTTTGAACATAGTGATTTAAGAATGTAATTTTATTCTTTCACATTTTAATAGGTGTGGTTACCACTGTTTCCAGACCGATCAGAGAAGTTACATCACAGCTTTCTATCCAAACGTATCATGCTGCCATTCAAGCTCAGGATATATCCTCTAGGTAAGAACACAGCACTAGGGAGATAAAAGAGTTGAGAGGGTTAGGGGCATTAAAGGAAATGGAGACATTTGAGGGAGATGAGGAGGGAATTAGAAAGAGATACAAGAACAGAAGAAGCAGGAAGAAACGACGAAAGAATTTAGAAGTAGTAATGGAGAAGCAAGGAGATAAAAGTAGTTGTAAGAATTTTAAAGTCCCACTGTACTACTTGTAGCTACTTACTCCCTCTATATAGAAAACAATGCCTAAGCAGTGCCCATTGGTCCCCCATGATTCTCTTTTTCTTATGTTAATTGAGAGCTGAGTTGATGAGATAGCCACCTGCCAGTGATCACGCTGAGTGGTCTAATCCTCCTGGCCAAACTAGTACAGACGGGCTTTAATAGAAAAATGAAAATCTGTCAACAGCTCAAGAAAGTAAGAAATCTCATGAAATAAAAGTGCTAATGATTAATGGACCAAGAGAGAAAAAAGGGCTAGGAGTCTCCTTTTGCATTTAAATTTTTTTTTAAACTTTTGTTCTCCTTTAATGTACACTGATTAAATGAACGAGAAAGAATACTTTAAATACTGTAGGCATTGGAGACCGTATCGATGTTATTATTATTTAAATGACCCCAATATTTGTATTTTCTTTCTTTCTTCCTCAGCTGTGTTATTTGAGGATGCAGTAGTCCTTGGTGCAGCCAATGACATGCTGTCATTTGAACCCATGACCCCTAGTGTAGAACGCACTCGTCGATGCCCAAGCTTGCCATTCACAACATTAGAAAGAACTGTAAGTGAAACCCACCCTTCAATTGGGACTGAGTGTTCATTGTTATTACTATTTCTCTAGTCACTGGATTGCCGATGTTAAATTTAGATGGTAAACCTGAGTAAAGTTACAGAATTTTGCCATGTGGAGAAACTTATTAAAAAAAGCTTGTAATGAACTTGATATACAATTTAGTCTTTTAAAGGAATATGAGCTCTAAAAAAGGACCGGTTTAAGCCAGATTTATGATTTCGCCTAGAACAGTTAAATATCAGTCATGAATGTTTGTCATATCCTTTAAAACACAAAGTTAAGTATGTGTTCAATGTCAACAAAATAAATATGTAACTTTATCCAATGCTTTAATCTTAATAATGAATTATTTTTTACCTTTCTCCTGTTCCTCTGTTACAGACACAAATCTATCTTCATCATTTATTGAGACAGTTGCTGAGGAGAAAGTAAGTTTTTATGCTTATCAGATATTCATTCATATTAATTGCTCTTGAATAAATATTTATGTTCGTGAATGCTGTTTATAGTAAACAAAGGCATGAACAATGGTTTTGGGTGAATAAAAATCTCTAAACTGGTTTACATACAGATAAATTCATTCCCTTGATATACATTAGAAAAAGTCCCATATTGTGATTTTCATTTGGAGCTCAATAAATGTATAATTGGTCAAACATAAAATATCATCACCTAAAAAAAGCAGTTTCTTCTAAATAAGTTTTAAAAAAGTGGACCTTTTACCGTACTTTGTAGACCTATGGTTTTCTGATCTTGAGTTTGAGGTAACGGTTTTCATTTCTTTTCAACACAGGCTACTGTTTCAATTTCTTAAACATTAATAAGCTAGATAACTACACAAAATAAAGATCAGGATGTGCTTAATTGGTGTGCCAAGTTTCAACAACCTTATAATCCCTTCACAGAAATTCTTTAGAGTTCTTATCCTCCTTTTGATACCTTCAACAATACCTTGAACAATAGAGTGCTTAAATTGACTTGGATTAAAAGTTTTTTTTTTTGGGGGGGGGGGGGGGGGGTAATAAGGTCTATGTAGATGTTGACTTTACTACTCCCATATTCTTTGGAATTATTTGATCACCTTTCCTGTTCCTCAAACTTGCAAACGATTCTAAAACTTTTCATTTTTTCAGTCTCCAATCACATACATTATTGGAGGGTGATACCTCAGTTGGTTTGTTACTGTTATTTACTCTAAAAAGGTCAAAAGGGTCTCTGATTTGTAGATGAATCCTTGAATGGTTTTGGGGTGTTTGCTTAGCAGAGTTTGTGTTGAAATCATTTTAACCCAGTCCGAAGATTATATATTAGCCTAAGGGAGCCTTTAAAGAGAGTGAAACATTTTTTTTGAAACAGAAAAAAATCCCTTCTTCATCCTGGTAGCCAGACCTGAATTTCCAAACCAAAACTTCCCTTGCCTGGGTGAAGCTGCTTATTGGACATAAATGGAAATTTGGGGAAAGAAAGTGCAGATATTTTTTCAGTTTTGTAAATATTTTGAATAGGTTTCTATTCTTCTTTCCGCCATGGGATTTTGCATGTAGACATGTTTTGGTTTGTACTGTATATAGAAAAAGGATGACAAGGAATTCAATAGCTTGGAGCAAGGACAGCTTGAATAATGTGCAATGCTCTCGGCAAGACCTTGTTTGGTGTTTAAGCATAAGCGTGTGCATGTCATCACTGGTTGTTTAGTCTTTGGTGAGCAAGCTGCTTTTAAGTATCTGGAGTTCTCAAATGGTTCATAATATCTAAATGGTCTATAAGGTTTTCAGTATGCTTGAAATTATTGGAATATTATTAAAGAAAATATTAGATGATTAGGCAGGGACTTATTGTACTAGTTTTCTATCTATGTTTATTATCAGAAAGAAATGCTACAGAAAAGTTTCTGTTATGAAATCTTTTGGTGTTACATTTCGTTATTATAATTGGCCCTCTTTTAATCCAACTCCAGAAAGCTTAGATTTACTTTGTGTTTTGTTTTTGCAGTCTTGGGATGCATGCCCTCCAGATAGCCCGTAGCTGTATGTCTCTACCTTACTTCTCCCACGTCCTAGAACTCATGCTTCATGAAGTCTTAGAGGAAGAGGCTACTGCTTCAGAACCCATACCAGGTATGTCTCGGTCGTTGATTGTGTAAGTTTTGTTATGTGTACCACTGTTCTTTTACCACGGTCCATTTTCAGTCTGCCTAGTTAAGAAAACTGCATCTACATGTATTAATATTTCATGGCTAGTGATTTCTAGTTGAACTTCCCCATTGAATAGGTTCATGAAGTGAAAAGTATGATATTATGGATCACAATTTGTTTTTTAGATGAACAATGCAGAGAGATACATGTATGATCAAGTTTGATTTTTAAAATAAATATATTTTTTTGTGGTAATTGTATGTGACATTCATTACGGAGGGGATGGGGTCAAATTGAGCTTTATTGCTAAAAATTAACCATATTGTATTCTCATTATTTCCATTCCTAACTCGGATCAGATGCCTTATTACCAAGGGTCGTAGCCTTCATCCAGGAGTTTCCTCAGTATTTAGAGACAGTGGTACATTGTGCCAGGAAGACTGAGATAGCATTGTGGCCCTACCTCTTCGCTTCAGTCGGCAATCCTCAAGACTTGTTTGAGGTGAGCAACGACACCCATTAGAATCTTGGTTGTATCCATTTGATTTAGCATTTTCATTACCAACTTACAGGCATAAATTATTATTATTTATTTCACCATAACAAATGCAAGGGATATAGACAAAGTAATAGATAAAAGATACATTGTAAATAAGGAATGGAATGTGGATGGAATGCCTGCAAAGTCTAGGTGAATGGCCTTCTGCAGTATATTATATGACTCATAATAACAATCTGCCCCACTATTAAAATGTTGATATTCATCTTGGTTTTGCATTAGTTGTGTTTCTTTACGTGAAAGTTACATGTGTTTGTATACTTTGATAAGGATTTGAAATTTTATTTAATTTTACAGTATTACTTCTAAATGCTTTTGCTGACAGTATTGTCTTTGGTTTACCCTGATGTTTTGAGAAATCAATTGAATTCAAGTTATCTTTAAAATCCTGACATACAATGATTGTCTTGAAAAAAAATCTTATAATATCAAATATTTGTTTGCTTTTAGTATTTCAACTCTTATTCATTTCTTACTTGATTCTATGGAAACTATGTAAAGAAAATAATCATGCTTTATTTATGTAACACACTTAGATCATCTTTTGGAAGTGCAATGAACTGAATTTTTAATGTTATTTACAGGAATGTTTGAAGACTGATAACCTTCAGACAGCAGCATCGTATCTCATCATCCTTCAGAACCTGGAGTCAGTCAAAGCAAGCAGACATGTAAGTTTAATCTCTGAGGATAGTAGTTAATATTTTTATTTTGTTCTAGCTAGGTTAAACCAGAAGCAACAGGAAATTGTGAATAAGTGTACATTGTTTTGTTTTAGTTAGCAAACAAGAGTCACTCTGACTGTTTTCTTGATACTAGAAACTGAACAATAAATGCAATTTCCCCTCTAATTAAAATGAATTTAAAATTAGGTATTGGGGTTGTACATTCATAAATGTGATGTGTGTAAATATTAGATGACAGGACATATTCTGTTTTTATAGCAAATCAATATAGAAGTTTCTAAAAACTTTTCCATGATTGGATTAGTAACACGAGTGGTAGTTATCGGTATCCTAAACTTGTCTAGCGCAAGGCTAATCTGCCTCAAGGTCCAGGGGGGTGGTTCACAAAGACTAAAATCAACTTTAAGTTGGACTTAACTATGGCAGGCCGTTTATGCCCCTGTTTGCTCTCACCATTTACTGGCATTGGTCTCTCAAGGGATGTACAAATCATGGTCACAAATCTACACAATTCATTATTGAAGGAAAAAATAGTATCTAAAGATCATAATGGTGAGAGCAAACAGTGGAATGAAAGGCCTGCAATAGTTAAGTCCAACTTAAAGTTGATCTTAGTCTTTGTGAAACACCCCCAGAATGCAAGATCAGAAACGAGCTTGAAATGGCTAAAGCCTAATTTTTCCAACCCAATGTTTAAATTTTGTTCTTATTTTCGTTTCAGCATGCCACTATGCTTTTGGATGCAGCTCTAGAGCACGGTGAATGGTCGCTATGTCGGGATCTGCTCAGGTTCCTACGCTCCATCGGTTCAGGGGAACTTGATTCACCAAGGCCCCCGCCCCCTCTTGCCAATCACCACATGTTCCCCCTGGGTGTGGGGATGGGTACGCCAGCGAGTGTGACCAAGCCCAGGGGTAGGCATTCCAGTCATAGCAACAAGCCAGGGAGCACGACAGACAGGCAAGCTGACCAGAACACTACGGAGAAGAGGTAAGGCATTATTACTAGATGATTTTTTAATGAAATGTATTTGTATGTAAACGGGGGAGCGTGATTGCTCAGTGGTTGAGCAGTGGTTGAGCAGTGGTTGAGCAGTGGTTTCGTATCCGGAGGGTCCGGGGTTTGAAACCAATGTGATGCGCTAGTGCCCTGTGGTAAGGCATAAATCCTCATTATCAAGTCCCTTGGAGAGGACTTAAAGCCGTCGGTCCCCTGGTTGCTTACTCGAATAAAACCAACCAACCAACCAACCAAAGTTGTTAATTCATTCAAAACATTTGATTCAAGGTTGAAATTTGGATTAAGACACTCCAACCATGTCATACAAGCAGGTCCAATACAATGTAGTGTAGCTAATAATTGAATTACATTATTTTCAACAGTACAGGAGGATGGTAGGTACTTCAAAAAGTTAGCAAGCAGGCTAAAGATGAATAGGAACTTTCACACAGTGTGAATAGTTAAATGCATTCAACTTGCTTTTGCATTGATCAAATAACTTTTCTATGTGAAGAAATGCATGGTTGTTCTTTAACCCTATTTTAACTGGGCTATTTCAGACCAGGTTTTTACTGGGGGGGGGGTCAATTTGACCCCCCCCCCTAAGATCTCGGCCGTTTCACCGCCGATCGCCGCGAAAATTTGCATGCATGTCAAGTGAAGTGTATAAAATACTATGGTAATTTCAAATTTTTGAAAAATTCACTCATTGGCATATTTATGGTAATTTATGCAAATAAGGTCATAAAATTCACATTTCGGCCCATAAATCATAGATTATTCATATTTAAGTATTCTTTTTCACTACATATATTTATTAGACCATTTGGAATAATAATAGGACACAAAACATTGGAAGAGCCAGGTTATTCCTTATGTTATCTCTTGTTTTTATAATTTCTTATGTATTTCATTGTTTTTTTAACTTATGTATTTTATTGTTTTTGTTGTTTTATTTCATTTATAACTACAATTCAACTATTTTGACCCAAAACAAACATCTAAACTTTAAACAAGACTGAATAACCAATGTTTTATCTATTTTTAGGAAAAATGACTTTTACATATGTTTTGTACACAAATCACGAAAATGAGCAATTTTCGGGCTGACATGCAAAGACAAAAGGTCATGCGACCTTGTAACCGTAGGTCCGATTTTCAAAAAAATTGTTTTAAAAGATGCGTAACACTCGAAAGTAAAAAGTCATGAGAGGAAAATTTTATGTCTGCCGCGGTTTCGGAGTAGTCGCGAAATTTCTACAGGGGGGGGTCAAATTGACCCCCCCCCAGTTAACGTAGGGTTAAAATATATGTGTCTCACCAACATATGGGCCCTCTTGTATTATACCAATTTCAATAGGAAGTGCCAACAGTTCTTTAACATATTTTTCCATAGCCAATTATATGCAATAAATTCAGTCACTTACATCAGTTGTCAAAACCTTTCTACTGATATCAACTTCTATGGAACCTGCTATATTCTTTTCTTGTGCAGGAATTCTACCCTTTCAAGGCAGAGCAGTATGACCGATTCCGGTTTAGATGAGTACTACATCGAGACCATTCTAGCAAGACATGCTAGGAAGCTGCTGGCAGCTTACAGGTTAAAGGAGTTAGGGGTCATGACTGGTTATCTAGACTTCAAACTCACATCATGGCTTCTTAGAGAAAGGTTAGTGTGCATGGATCAAGTGATGAAAATATATCTGTGTTTCGAGCTAATTTGAAAGTCTGGTGAATCAACTTTCCCCTGATAAAGAAACAAATTGCCTCAGGTGAATCTGAATTGTTAGCATGTAGCATAAATAAGTTGTTTGGATAAACTAATATAACAAATCAAAAGGATCTCGCTGGAAAATACATTCTAATGACATTTTGATAGACGTGACTTTTGATGAGGATATGCTAATCCTAAACATACGGTACAGTGTACATCATTTTCAATTTTTTAGATACAGCTAATGATTTTGTATAATTCCGGTATATTTGTAGATATGTTATCATTTTGTGTGTGTTCTCTGTTTTCTATATTGTATATTAATATAATCTGTATCTTATGTGTTTTTATGGATTTGAATTGAAATAAAACTTGAAACTTGTGTTCATGTTTTACTCAGGATGAGAGTAGCTCGAGTGGACAGCTTTGTTGATGCCTTGAAGAGACTTCATTCTGATTTCAACTGGCCTCTCCCTGTCATTGAAAGCCCCTCATCTACAAAGAGCTGTAAGTACACATACTCCTTCAGTTCAAACCTGGACTTTCCCTAAAAAAGTTATCACTAAACTCTGACTGTTTTGTATTTTTGCAGAAAGGGAACATGTATGTACACTGGATTATACTGAACTTGTTTTTATATGAAAAAGTGTCTTTTGCACTGTTGATATCAATGAAATATGAATAGAGGAGTCTAGATTTTGATCACTCACTTTATTTTGGTACCTGTTATTAATCATTTTTCTTTTACTCCGCAACAGTTTTGTGATTTATTTAAAGCAAAAAATACTGTGTGTGTGTGAAGGAATGTATAGTAATTCTGCAGTAGATTTCCTAAACAAGCCTAGTAAAGAACTTTATGAAAGGAATACCATATCATATTGTGTTTGTAAATCATATTGACATGTATCTATTATTATTTGTCTGTTAGAAGAAAAAAAAGAGGAGTGTTGAATGATGGTTGTTAAAAATAGAATACCCTTTTTTCTATGTTTCTTTACAGTGCAAAAAATATCTCCTCCGACTCGTGCCCTGAATGGTATGCATCCCCATACGGATTCCCCTTCCTCACCCGTGGACCTCATTCCTACCACCAAGTTTGCAGGGGTGAGCAGTATGCCCCCCAAACCAGCCACGCCCACCCCCATAGCGCCGGTGGTAAACAGACACACCAACGGTAGTCACCCTGCTGGTGGGCTGACCCTCAAGCTCTCCAGGACTCAGAGCATGCTGTCTGAGAGCACTGGCAGTGATACCAGGACAGAGGAGGCCGTACTCAAACACCCATCTGCTAAAGGTAATTTGCAACATATTGTCATGTCAGTTATGGGGGGGGGGGGGGGAGGGAGGACTTTCTCTCATTAGTTTTTATGTACACCTGTAGCAAAATGATGGAATTGAAATTATAGCACTCCATGTGGTATGGTCCTGGAAGTACTTTATAGGTGCCTTTAGAACCCCCTAAAATTGATGAATGTTTTTACCTGACTGCTAAGGAAGCATGTATATGCTTGTAAGTAAACAACCAAGGGACCGATGGCTGTAAATCCTTTCCGAGGGACTTGGAAATGAGGATAAATGTCTTACCAAAGGGCACAAGTGCATCAACATATTTTTTAACCTGGGACCTCCCGGTTATGAGACCACTGAGCCATTGTCCTTTGACAAGACATTGATCTACATTTGCCACACTCCACCCAGGTGAAGTAAATGGGGACCGGTAGGAAGTAATTCCTTGAATGCTGTGAGCACCGACATCGATAGCCTAGCAGAGCCGGGGTAATATTGGAGCACTTTGAGCACCCTGCAGGTTGGATATGTGCGCTATATAAATATCCAGTATTATTATTATTATTGCGCCTCCTTGAATCAACGTATTATTGTAGTTATTATCCTTGTGTCGTGCAGGTTCTGATGAAACCAGCATTGGGACTACAGAAGCCTCTGAGGGTAGTCTGCTAGGAGAAGGAGACAACAACCTTGAAGATAGCTTCTGGTCAAACAACGTCACAGTAGATGAGCTAGAACAATTCTTCAAGGAAGTCATTCAGCATGGACCAAAACAATCAGAAAAAGAACTCAGGTAATGGCTGCTGTTTGTGGAATTCATTGTCTTACCTGTTTTTGATAAACATTCTTATTAGTTCACCTGTTTGTGAACTGTGGGTTATGCTCTTGTTTCTACTACATTATCAAGAGTTCCATAGTTGATCAACCTGGGGGGGGGGGGGGGGGTGTTTCACAAAGATCCTAAGTCGATCTTAACTCTAAGTTGGACTTAACAATTATGGAAAGCCGTTGGCATCTTTGAAAATATTTTGTACAAGTTTTTTTAGAAGGCATAAAATGTAGATTCAAATCATTCATATTTTCTATTATCATTGGAGATTTCATGTTCTTGATGTGGAATTTATAAAAAGTCTAAAATTCTTGAATTTTGTATTATGAATATATTTTATTTTAAGGCTACAAATGGCTCTCCATAATATTTAAGTCCAACTTAGAGTTAAGTTTGACTTAGAATCTTAGTGAAACACCCCCTGGAGTATGAGCTATTGCAATGAAATCCATAAAATCTATTAAAGTGATCTGTGTTCATCATTGTTTTGGTCGACTTTAGAGAAAAGAAATGGTAAATATGTCATAATGCTTTATCATACACTGCGGTTTCTTTCTTCTTCCTAGACTCACGTACTCAAAGCTAATATTCCATAAAACCATGATTTTTATCAGTTGCAAATTAAGGCATACCTGTAAAAACTGTGATGCTGTAAACATTTCTTTAGAAGGTTCAGACTTCGTTATTGGAGAAAAAATGGAGAAAAAAATGGTCAAGTCCTAGGGTGGAGATTCGTGAGAGTGTAATACAGAACATCAAGGATTCCAGCCTGCAGTACATTCATCCAACAACTTTCATTGATTTGATTATTTTTATTTCAGGTATCTTTTAAAGATAGTCTTAGACGCCAGCTGCCTGGAGTGGGGTCTTCTCATATCCATCATCCTCAGGGACAGATCATCATTGAGTCAGGTGGTCAACATAGCTAGCCTTGGGGAAATCCCCATGGATGTCATTGCACGCATGAGGGAGGGACTCTCATTCCTGGAGCTCTGGGCTGATACAGAATGGTGAGACTCCTATCTCCTTTAGGAATTTCCAGTGTCTTACCTACCTAAATGGCAACCACTCTGTTTTGACGGGATTGCAGCCACTATTAGATAACCACACATTTTACAGTTGTGTACATGATTCAATTGATTGGCATGGTACTGAGACATGCCTGTATATCTTGCAAATATAGGGATCACTTTGTTTGAATGCTAGGATTATGGGACTGACTTTAAATCTTTTCATAAATGTGTGAAAATTACCTCTATGAGAATGTTTGTGACAATTAATCATGACTCATTGAACAACAAATATCACATCAGCAATCTTATCACTGTCTATAAACTTGCATGTCCCTTTTCTCCTCTGTAGCCCTGGTTACAAGCCCCTCCTCCATGCCATGAAGCCTCAGGCGAGTGTCCTTGCTGAGGTGGTAGAGAGAGCACCGTCACCAACCCGGTCCAGGTCCTCGTCTGCCTCTGAACACTCACTAAACGAGTCCAAGAAGCACAGCTCCAGAGGGGGAAGCATGGGAGAACCTGAGCCCTGTGAGGATGAGGTGTTTGAGGAGGAGGAGGAAGAGGTTGAGAAGGAGGAGTCAGCTTGTGCTATATCATGACCCAGGCATGGATGAACGGGATGGATGGATGATGCAAGGAAAGCCATTCCAACGACAGATCCTCAGGATGCGAAGAACAAGTATTCATGGCCTGTTTGGAGAGAAGGTGTAGTCGCAAGGATGCACAGGCTCAGGAGGGGTACCTTTACTAGGGTATATACAACAACTCATCGGTGAAAGACTCACCCATGCTGCAGCGATGGTACATGTGTCATGGGATGTACAACGAGAAGGACTTTCATGTCTTGTGAACTTCTAGTCAAGCATGGACAGGGATAGAAGACAAGATGGATACCTGATAAGTGAAAGACTTAACTAGATGCTGAGCTGCAGAAGGAGAAGGACACATGAGTCTTGTGAATTCCGTTCAAGGAGAGATAGAGTCTCATTGTATGGAAAGATGACAGGATTAGGCAGAAAATGGTGTCTGTTTTCATGACGAACATCAACTTATCTCAATCATGACTGTTTGTCATAGAAGAACTGAGATGGCTAATTGAAAGGGTACTTCAAGGAGTGAGACTGATGTTAATACATGATGTAGGTTTGGTGAAAGAAATATGATCTTCAAATGTTGTCTGGTGGCCGTTTACACTCGGTTGTATTCATGAGGAAGAAGAACTCGATACCCCAACTCAATGCAAATTATCGGTGATAATTACAAAGGTTGATCTTACTTGATGCAAAGGACCAAAATATGCAGAACCTTTGGAGCAAACTTCCAATTCCATTGTGTGAAAATCCAAACAGTTATTGTACAGCACAAGACTGGTGGAGTATTTATATGAAATGACATATACTGTAGATTTATTTATCATTGTGGCGTTATAAAACACATTGCATGGAGCTGTCTTGTCATCTATACTTGGTGTAAAATGTGAGCATTTCCTGACAGATAGAATTGAGTTCTGGTCATGCAATTGCGTTGTAAAAAGAAATTGTTTTGAAGCAAATGAAAGAGGTTGATTTTGTAGCACAAATAATTCGTTTATACTGTGTGGTCTTGGGAATTATCAGAATGATGAGAAATTTACTCATTTTTGGTGAAAGTCATGTACACTGTACACAGAAATGTGTATATGACTACACAAAGATGTGGCATGAAACTTTGGTTCAAGCATTTCAGCTATTTCTTACATTTCAAATATGATGGGATTTGAAAAACCATCCTTTTCAATGGCTTTTTCTATGTTATTCTTATAACAGAGACATAAACAGAATGGAAAAATCACAAAATAATTTTCACCTTTCCCAGAACTCAACCTTCTCTTAAATTGCAGTCATTATGTAATATATTCTAAGTGACAACAAAGATGAGGAGTGATGTTGCTTCCAAATGTAATAAATGTCTCACCATTCAATACAGGGTACTAGAATTTCATCAAGGGTATTTTCAAAGGGGTTTTCTGTCTGCCTTTGCCTACTGTCTTCTTGTCTATTTATGGTTAGTAGGTGCATACATATATTATTGGAGCTTGAAACAGCCAACTTGTTTTGAGTGTCTTCTTCTTGATCACGCAATATCATGAAGCTGTATCTTAACAATTAAATGATAATGTATCATTTGTTTGTGGATAGCCAGCCCATAATGCCAGTTTTGAAAACCTGCAATAACAGTTAATTTCCAAGAAACATATTCAAAGGAAAATATTTTGTAGGGAAGAATATTTTTTCTTTGGTTATCACCCCTAAGATTTGACTCTTCTGTTATTAGGCCAGTAAATCAGTCTGGTCAAGATTGCTTTTTCTTTTTCTTCTTATTTTTTCTGTATTGCTTTGGTAGATAAAGAAAGATTTTTTAACCACACCCACAATTAACAACCTGTATGGATCAAGTGAAAACAGACACAAATACCATCAACAATTATATGACCTTATACACCCTGAAGCATGCACATTTACAAATTGTATTGTTTTCAATTAATCGTAACTTGCAATGAATAGTAGCTTTTGATTAATTTAATTTTGCAGATAAATGTAATGCATGATAAGATGCAATGATTTTCATCAAGATGGGATATCAAATAGATTTTTATGATAGATTGTAAGTTGATGTTTTTATATGACAGGGCAGAGGGCAGTTTTTTCTATGTAGAGCTTTATATTCAGGCAGTGGTTCAAATCGTTGGTTCAGACAAGGTTAGTTTGATACAAGGCTGAATGAAACACAGTATCATTATGGTTGGAAGGATATCATATGGATGCCTTGATAAGTACATATACGTAGTGCACATTAAGGAGGTCTTGAACATTTTTTTGCATTTCAGTCCATGGTGGTTTTCAGGAAGTTAGTATGGATGTTGTGATTACAATTTGTAAAGGTGTTGTGGTCTAGTGGATAATATCAATACTTTGGTTGGATTGGTATGTGTGCTCTTGTGAAATAGCACCTGGCCTAAATACTCCCCAGAGAGTGGAGCTAGCACAATCATTTGCAGATTAGCCGTTGAATCCAATGACCATGGTAATAAAGTACTTACGAACATATACTATACAAATGTCACTATTATTTATGCATTATCAAAGAAATCTAAATCTGTATTATTTCCAAATCACAATGTATTTCAAATGAATCACACCTTAGAATGGTACCGTAAATAGATTTTTTTTTCGCGATCATTGGTAGAGAAAAGGAAAGAAACATAATGAACCTGTATTTGACAAGAGAAGTGTTTCAAATGTAAAAAAATTTACACATTCCTGTGTTTTCATCCTGTTGACTGTATTGTACGGGTTAGTTCTTGTAAACTTTCGTGGGAGTTTGTTCATGCTTCAGTTGCCAACCTCGCCCCTCCGCTTGGTCACTCTTTTTCCAACTGCAATTCTGCTCAAAATAATAAGCACCAATTAACGGAAGGATTGCCTTCTGCAATACAATGGCTTTACAAAATTTGGCCTTCATTAGCTCCATGATGACCCTTTAAAAGCAGGTATTGATGAATCTTGCACTGAAAACATTTTAATAATCTTGAAGCCTTTTTATATATCTGTCCCGTGATAAATACAATTTGGCACAGGGAGATTGGTTGTGTTGCATATAAATAGTTAAAGGCATACCTGTGAGTGCAGTGCTTCTTGAAGTCTTTATGCAAATTGTCTATGTTAATGGTGTGCTCAGACCAAGTTTGCTTTAACAATGCATTTCCTTGCAATACATGGCTTCGAGGCTAGTGCTAGTCTAGTGTTCATCAATAGTAAGTTACAGTACAGTAATCCTGAGAGAACTCCAACTAACCATGGTTAATTCATGGGCTACATCAACATCAATTATGTGTTTTCGTTAGATGAAATTACTCAAAGAATGATATCTCATGTGGAAAAATAGTTCAATCCTTTTTCTACGCTCAGTTTGTTGTTGTACTGAGTAATGCCATACAGTTGGTGCACCTTATAGTATTGCTGCTTAAGTCTGCCCATGAATTTGGACATCTTGTTTGGTACCTAGTTGATTTAAAGTCTTGATATGCACAGGGTTTACACGTCTTTTTTAATATCTAATTTGCACCTATATTTCCTTCTAACATGCCTATTTAATACACCTGTATACGTGTACTGTAGCACACTGATAAAACCCCAAGATGCATGTATGTGATGCGTAAATGATTTTCATGTCAACTATATTGAGCGCCGCTAGATGTGTTATATGTATCGCTGTGAGCCAAGTCTTATTAAGTACATTAAATGATAGCAATGTATAGTATTTTCAATATTTTTCATTATAGAAAATAAATTATAATATATACATGTATAGGAATGAAGTGGTTAGAATCATGTTGTATTAGAAGTTCACATTGACATTAGCAGTTGTAATGTACATGTGTTGTATTATGGTACCATGTTAGCTCCATTATATAAACTCATCTGTCCTTCGACGTCCCAAACTAAGGTGCTACCTGTTGTCAAAGTATCTCTCAATGTTCCCTCACAAAGTGGACATACCGGTATGTATTTTGTGTATGAAGCACGGAGCATTGATTATATATTGTAAATATATTGGTGTAAAAAGTGTACAAAAAGGCATATTATGACCATGATGAAAATAAAAGATTTTTTACTTAACTTGCCATACAAAATGTGTTATTCATATGGATTTATTGAACTGTTTTAGCACTGTGCTCCCTCTTCCCCTTCACCCCCCCCCCCTTCCTTGGGAGTGGAACCTCTGTTTGTAGTATAATTATCTCTTCTTATATCTTAGTAATTAATTGATCAGGGGGGTCAAATATTCACTTTAATATTATATCACTATGCTATGCTTGCAGTCAGGAAACAAAACAAAAACATGAATATTATAGGAATTAGTATCAGTCTATTTGTATCATACATCATAATGATGACTAATAATATCATTACTAAACTTCCTTACATCATTTTATTCCTTTTATTTCTACTTGTGGTTTATGTCATAGTGGTATTTACTGCAAGAACATGGCAATATATCAAATAATTATGAAAGGTAATGACCATGGGTTTATATTACAAACATAAACGTTGCAACTAAATCTCCAAAACAAGCTGGAACTTGTGTAATTTAAAGGGGAAATCTCTTTATAATACCATTCCAAATGAAAGCTTTAATTTACAAAACTCACTCGTAATTTTTTTATAAATAATGTGTAGGGCTACATGAGAGAACGCTTTTATTTCCAAATAATATGTTTCATTGCATCTTATATCAAAAATTCGTGATGTCAAAGTTTGGAAATGAAACAAATTATAAGTACACGTATCTCGTTCCCTCATTTACTTTTCCTTTCTTTTTAGCTGATTTTTGGAGAAAGTTACCTGAAGCGAAAGGGGACGAACGCCGAGATTTGACTCGTCGCATTTTCAGAAATATTATCTTGTTTCGTTACCTTCTCGTAATTAATCATCAATGACGCGTCGTTTTGGTCATAAAATACTGCTTACGATCTCATTCATTGCTACGCTTGACTAATACCTTTTATTCTTAATCCCTGAAATAGATTGGGAACTATTGTATTTACGTCCAGTATTTTCAAGCGTATTGTTTAGCGCATTTTCTTTACAATTTAATGGTGGTTCGTCCCACGTACCTACCCATTTGTATTGGTGTACTCGACAGCACAGTGATATACATACCAGCGGACAATGTACTTGCTCTCTTCAAGTAAAATCCGGTATAATCAATGTCCTCTGCATAATACCCGGAAGCATGACTCGTTTGGAAAGATAAAAGAACGTCATTTAAAACTTCCAGAATCTCAAATACATTGTGTACGTTAAAGTTTGCTCTGATTTCGCGGTCACTGGGATAGAGATTGTCGTCATTTCAAGGATTCCTCTGAATCATTCTGGTTGGAAAACCATTCGAAAGTTTTCGGACATAGCTTTATATGAGCCTATCGGGAGTGTTTTGTTTAGTTTTTGCTCCGACAGTAAAGCTCACCTCAGACATGAGAATTTAAACTTGTCTGTAATACCGACTTTTTGGCTTTCTGTTAACTCGAGGATTAGTACGCTCTACATCATTACTTTCTAGAAACAAGTGACCTCGTTCCTTCTTTTCTTTAAACGTTTGCCAAATAAAGCTATTGTCAACAAAATAATGACTCGTCTACAGTATCAAGAAACATCTGCAACGTTATTGCGTGTTTGACTTGTAGACACATTTGTTCATTTCCATTGTGCCTTGAAGTTCGTCAAAGTCGAAACGATGTTTGTGGGAATTGTCATTTTAGTGCTGAATGTTTTACGAAGTGGTAAGTTTTGATGTCGTTTAAAACTACTTTTTTTTTAACATTGATTATTGTATAACATTTATAAAAAAAACACCCTCGGAGTGACAATGTGGAGTGACAATGTGTCACTTTAAAGGTACTACCAAGTTTTGGGAAATTTGAAAATTGGGTGGATAGTGATTCTTTACCATTTTGATATATTTTGATGCCCCTGTAGATGTATCAAAAGCAATAGAAAATTTAGCCCCTAAAACACTTCTGCTTTCGAGAAAAATTGAATATAAACATTTACCGGTGATCCCGGTAAATGTTGATGAATTTCAAATAGCGCCTACGGCCGTACAATGGTAGCTGCGACCATGAAAATCTCAGAATATGTAGTTATGATATATCATTTCCAAACGGGAATGCCTAATCGGTCGATTTTAGTCAAGAAACATTGTTTAAAGGGAAAGTCCACCCTGAAATTAAGTTAGTTTTAATAGGAGTAGAAAAATGAGAGAAACAAGTCAGTGAAAGTTTGAGCAAATTCCGATTAAAAATAAGGAAGTTAGGATTTTTGAAGTTGTGATCAATCAAACACAAATTGGCAACTCTATGACGTATCATGCGAGCTCAACTTCCATTTGCTCATTACTAAAAAAATCTAAAATTTTCATTTTCCCTCGAGAAAAATTTCAACCATACATGCACCCTAAATATAATAATTGCAAATATGTTTCTATACTCCCCCTGCACGGAACAAATATATATTCCGTCATCAATAACGAAGAAAACATGATTTTATGGAATATTATGCACAAAGCAAATGAAGGAGAGCTCGTATAATAAGTCACAGAGTTGCCAATTTGTAATTGATTGATCACAACTTCAATAATTCATAACTTTCTTATTTTCATTCAGAATTTGCTCAAACTTTCACTCACCTGATTTTCTTATTATTCTGCCTCTATCGAAACAAACTTATTTTGGGGGTGGACTTTCCCTTTAATAGCTTAACTGATATCTTGACCTTGAGAGGGAGCTAAATCACATGATGAGTTTTTTACAATTTCATAACTTTAGACTCGATTTCAACCGCGACAACGATCACTAAATATCGTAGGATCGCATATGCTTCCAACATGTTCATTTGAACCAAATTCATGACCCCATACCAAAACTTTGTATTACCTTTTAGATATAAACCTCGAGTCAACAATGAGAACACAATATGGAGTAAAACAAAGCCTATATTAATCTTGGAATACCATTGATGATCATTGGCCATGGTCTCAATGCCCGCACAACTAAAATGTTTCCAATAAACCACTCTAGCCTACCTATGGGTTTCCAATTATGAAGTAGGTCCCTTTAGTGTGGGATAGCTAGTAGCTGAAGGAATATTTGTCCTAGAATCATTTTACCATAACTATCTCTGCCCAGCCTATCATATTATATGTAGTATAACTGCTTCCAAGCCAATCATATGGAATTAAATGCATGACTAGTTTTCATAATTGTAATTGTTATGGTTTGGGTTTCATAATACACCTCTTGAAATCGCAATGCTCTTGGTATTGCACAAAATGTGAATTGACGCCCCCTGGACCCCACAAGGGGCCCTAAGGCGGGCCCCTGGTTGCTCATTCGACATTTATTTAATGCCTAAAACCACTGAGCTTTAGTGGGCTCCGCCCCTGGACCCCATGCCAATTAGTGACCTGCCAGTGTCACAAATAAGGATATAATATATGCTCTACTGACCGTAATTAAACGCCTAAAACCCCGAGCTTCCTGGGGCTCCACTCCTTGCCCCCCGCCAGGGCTTTGCCCCTGGTCCCCATGCAAATTTACGCTCCATTCGCCTTGCTCGCTACCCTCTACCTGATCATAAATACTCCCCCACACACTTTAAAAAACGTTCCGCGGGGCATGCATGTAACATAATAGTATATAATAATATATAAGAGTGGAGTTGCTACGGACCGCGCCCCCCTCAAACGTTTCGGCTCATTACGCCACTGGTCCCTCGCGTTTTGTCCCCCCCCCCCGGATCATGAAAAGAAATCGCCGCCCCTGCTTGCAATTAACCGAGGACTCGATGAATGATTACCCGCGCTAATCGAGCATGTAAATGCAATTTATAACCCGGACGCCATTTCTAGCATTGTTAGAACTGCTTATATAATTTTGCAGTCACTTTTGTCCATCGTCTCTCTCACGTTTCAAAGGTCACACCAGTATAAAAATAATAAATGTTTGCGAGTGAATTTATAGTGAATATGCACTGCACGCAGTAGGATAAGTGAGACTTGTCGAGGTCATTGTCCGTCTTATTATAACTAATGCACGAGCTTAAAACATGTATTATTTGTTTTATAAGATGGGTCTACAATATGATTATAAAGTCGAGAAATTGACATTTGTTATTACCAAAATACAATCTCTGTGCGTATGGTGAAATTAATGCACGCATACGTGATCCATTTCGACGGTTCTCATTGGCTGCAAGTTCTTGAACCCATTTTATAATCGCTGATGACGCCTTGTGCACATCGGTAGGCTTTAGTCTAGACCAGGGGCCCATTTTTCGAAACCGATTAAGTCTAACTTTTTGACTATCCCATTGAAACTCGTGTTAATTGTATAACACACCTTTCAATGGAATAGTCAAGAAGTTAGACTTATGACGGTTTCGAGAAACGGGCCCCAGGTAGCGAGACATTTAGTCTCGCTATATATCAGTGATTATTAGAGTAGCCAAAAGAAGTGGTTGGTGAAGGACTCTGCCCCCAATAATAGACTTGTATCTATCTATTCTGGTGTCTTCTCAGAGGTTGATCGGACCTGTATTATGAACTAGTTGCGGTTGATTACAAACAATTTGTTGTTGAACAACAAATAACTTGCAATTGATATCAATCGCAAATCTGTACTAAAGAGAAAGGAAATGCGACCTACATCAATTGCAAACTATTTGCAACCAATCGCACCTCTGTTATAAAACACGACTTGGTGTGCAACATGTTGCGAGTCATAATGTTCAATGAAAGTAATAGTAGGTTTTTCCTCTTGTTAATTCCTGGGGTCTCGGATACCTAGGTCTGAACCGAAATTAACTTTTCTTACGTTTCTCTCTCTTATACAGTATCTAGCCAGCCATCAGCCGATGAATGGTACAGACTTGATGATGCTCTCTATTTGGTGGATAACACCTCACGATTAAATTATGATGATGCTCAGTCTCAATGCCTAGAATACGGAGCCAATCTAGCTCGGGTCGACTCGGACGAGATCCAGGTAAAAGTTAACGATGTAGTAGTTACTATCACGCTGTGATTATTCATATCCGTCACAACATTAATGACAATTCTACTGCATTTTAATGTATGCAGTATTCTTATCTGACGAGTTTGTTCATTTAATTACAGTAGGACACAACCCATAAGGTCCACCAAGGTCACCTCATCTTTCTGTCGTAACGCCATATTCTGTCAACTTGTTATATTCATGTTATACAGTATTTGGAAATTGTCCATTTAAAAAATGTGAACCCAAGGGCAAGATACAGCAATAACAAACCAAATACAAATAATGGGATACCAAAATGCTAGTGGGCACAGTCTCGTTTTTTTCTTCTTCTCAAAATGAGAAAATTATAAAGTTGCGATCTTTCCAAATTTTGCGTCTGACAAAATTTAAACATAATTTAGGGCCTACTTTTAAAGTTAAGATACTTAGATTTAATACATTGACTTACGCCACCCTAGACAACTGTACAAATTGTTAACGATCATCAGCAAAATATATTATGTAAGGACGAAATACAAACATTTTTATTCGCAGTTGTCTTGGTAGGAGTCTGTCAATGCAATACATCTCAATACCTTAACTTGAAAGTGCTTGAATTTTATCTGACATAAAATTTGAATATAGTTATATAGGGGGTGGCCTACATCCATCCATAATATGTTACTATATTTGTCGTGGATATACAGCCGTACACATCTAGGGAGAGTTGTAATACTTTATGAGGTGAGACTTTGATGCCCATATTTTAAAGTTCTTTCTGATTTGTTCATGAACATCTTTTTTTTTACGAAACATAAGTATAATAACAGATTTCATGAGAAAAATACATGGAAACAACTTGCATATTTATTTTAATGTCTTTTATCCTGTCTAATATTGTGTTGGTGTTTAATTTTGATATGTAGTCTTTTCTGACGACTTTCATCAGTCCACCCTCCATGCCAACGCGATGTTTTTGGATTGGTTGCCATGACAGAGAGGTCGAAGGTCAATTCAAGTGGCTCGATGGAACCCAAGTTCGGTAAGACATACTTACGTCCAAGTGGCAATGATTCAGATTTCCTTCGTGCAATGATATAGTCGATTTCAACCCCAGCCGACGGACTCGGTGATAACATAGTTTTTGAATTCGTCGGTTCATATATATTTCGTTATATTGAACTTCGGAGCATTCATTATTTGTATATTGTTTCATCATAATTGTCATCGTCATTATCATCAGATATAATGGATGGGCATCATACCAGCCAGACGATCATGGAGAGAACCAAGACTGTGCTTGTCTGTGGTCATCTAAGAATCCAAACAGACATGGAAGATGGGATGATAACACTTGTGGAGCTCGTCTAGACTTGATTTGCCAGAAAGGAGTGTGTGAGTCTAGCCTTTATATTTTTTCATTAAAAATAAAAGATACTTGTCTGTTTAATGAAATTATATAGGGGTCGATTAAACAGTTGAAGTCTGTAAACGGATCAAACTGACAGAATCGTCTAACGATGAAAAGAAAAGTTAATCCTATAACTTGTTCAGTGGGCTCAATGTTTTAGAACCATTCATGTTTCTAACTGATAGGCATATTAACGTGATTTAAAAAAGAAATTAAATGACTACAAAGTGGGTTTCATTTCAAATAATTAGGCCTATTATAAATTGCATGCAAAAGAATGAATTATTAACAACCAACAGACAGATAAATATATAATTTTGGAGAATTGCTTCAAACATGATAAAACCCATTCATGATATCGTGGAATTTATGTCGATAAAATAATGGGTTTGATTATATTTATATATATGATTACACATGTATACTCTGAGCAATAATGCCTATTGAACATGAGTCATCTTCTCGAGTATATTACTACAAAAGCTGAGATATAATAAGACCTATTAGTGACGTTTGATTCTTAAAGTCAAAACAAAATCCAATGACCCCAATCATCAATGAGGAAATTTCCGGAGAACTCTTTTACATATCGCTACTGAAGGAACGGCGAATGATATTATAGAGATATCGACTGCTTTGTGAGGCCTGGCCGTTTTATGCTAAAGGGAACGCGCGCACCTCCTGCCATTGGCCCGGTGGCGTTATTTTTTTATGCGGCACAGATTGGGGCATGGCGCGTGTTAAACCTATGGGAAGTACGTTCTTTCCCTTCTGAATAGTGTCTGCACGTACGTGAGACTAGTCATGTTCGCTAGCGCATTAGCGCTGCGAAGAAGTTTGTATATCCATCGCGAACTATGTGTTTAGATAACATTCCTCTTCGTTTAAGTTAGTTAAGTTTTATTGACTAATTATTGTGATGTTCTCCTTATTGACGTGCTGCCTCCTCTTCAGATTTCCAATTTGATTTTAATTGTTGATGTAATGATTTTCCATGCGGTAGTGGATTACATGTAACACTATTAAAAACAGACCTCTACTACTTATACTGTCTAGTACGCACACGACCAGTATTAGTCTGTAAATCAAGACCCCTTTAAAAAAAAGCCCCAATCTGTGCCGCATAAAAAAATAACGCGGCCCGGTGAGGCGCTCATGGGTGGGCGGCGCGCCGAGGGGTCATGGCAGGACGTGCTAGCTCCCGAGAGCATATAAAGCAGCCAGACCACGAATATTAAAGCAGTCGATATGTCTTTTATGGTTCTAGGACACCTACTTCCTACGAGGCTACGACAACCATCCTCTAGGACAACTACCCCTGGACATCTATCCTAGGGGGTTGTTGTCCGGGGGGTAGTTGTCCTAGGGGGTAGTTGGCTGGGGGTAGTTGTCCGGGGGTAGTTGTCTGGGGGGTAGTTGTCCTAGGGGGTAGTTGACTGGGGGTGGTTATCCGGGGGTGGATGTCCAGGGGGTAGGTGTCCGGATACGGTCTTTTATATGCCGAATTTAAACAAAAATATATCAAGAATTCTTACCTTATCCTTATTGAGTAAAGATTGGTTAAAACATCACGGACAATCTGAGACACTGTCTGTAATCTTTGCTTGAAAAAATGACTGAAAGTTTCAATCATTTGGGAATCGCAGACAAAAAGCACTGTATGGTGTCCGCGCTCGCACAGAGATCATTTTAACACGTAAACCAATGGGTCTCGCAGCAAAATTTTACTATTTTCATAGTAACCGGAATTTTGAGGGATCTCACTCTTTGACTATTAACCGGTATTGGCATTTTTCGTTTCTTTACGGGAATGGCTAAAATCACGACTCCAATTTCGACCGAACAGATGGCTGGATTCCTTAAGTAAAACCATTTTAAAGGCCTTCTCCCTTTCTCGTACCACAGATAATTTCACACTGACGAGTTCTCGAAGCAACCCGGGGTCGGCTTATGTTTCTTGCGCTGTCGATGTTGTCCAGGGCGATCAAACACTCTCTCCTAATGACGTCAGAGTGTCGGTCGGTAAAAATGTTTCATCTACGACATCGATTCCCTATTCGTCGACAAATGTCAACGGTGGATTACGTAACAATAGTTTTGTGATAGACAGCATTCAGGATGACGATAAGATCTTCTGCCATGTTGGTAAATTGGCAAGGACAGAGAGATCGTTCTCAAGAGTTGATTTAAGCCCGATTAATTTTTACGGTAAGAACTGGATTTATATACATCGATGTAATAAGCCTACAGCGGGACTAGGCCTACACCCCTCAAAGAAAAAAAAAACATTGACGTTCTAAAGGCAATAACATGAGTCATGAATTTCCTCTTTATGAATGTTCACATTGTGGTAAGCATAAACGAATCCGCAGGGGCGGATCCAGCTTTTTGCCAAGGGGGGGGGGGGGGAGGGGTGGGTTGACCCCCCCCCCCCCAATATAAAAATCGCGCCGTTTTACTGTTTTACTTTTCTTTTCTTTTTACACTTGGCCGCCCAAGGGGATGGGGGTTTAAACCGCCGAAACACCTCCTAGATCCGCCCTTGGTATTATCCAGGAGTCCGAAACACCCCATACAAAAAAGTTGTAAAACATTTTTAAAAGCAAAAATTTGCTGAAAATTGTGTTCAAATTCTCAATCGCTCTTTGGGAAAAGCTGATCTAGTGTTTGGCACACAGTCGGGACTGATATATCCTGAGATCCTCATCTTGTTTGTATGCTTTTTTGTTTGTTTTTGTTCTTGTTTTTGTTTGTTTGTTCTTCTTAATGACTTATCATAAGTCTTTTTAAAATTGATTCAGCACACAAGCTTTGTCTAATTGCAAATGTTCAATTTTGATCGGGTTTGATACTTCATCTTTCCTTTTTTAAAATGAAACAAATGAATGACATTATACTTTATGTCTTGACAGCTTTGCCTGGGCTGACATCTGGACCATCTGTGGAAGACATCAGTTCAACCTTCGTCACTGTCTCCTGGAGTTCTTGGATACCGTGTCTTGATACCGGCGAAGGGCCAGTAGTCAGTTACTTGGTCTACCTACAGACGATGGATGGAGAATGGGTAGAGGGTGGTGGAATCGACTCGGATGTGGGAGAGGGCGATCTTCAACGAAGAATGGAGTTTGTATTGACTGGGTTGGAACCAGGAAATGAGTACAATATCAGCGTGTCTGCCGTCAGAGAAGGCGTGGGTGGAGAGGGACCGAAGGGTCCACTTGTGTCTGTTACGACTAGTATTGGTGAGTAGATATTGCGCTTACTGACATTAGATATTTTGTGTATGAGATACATATTCATATGTTACTACTTTCTAGTAATATGAAATATTTGTAATTAATCAAGCCGTTTGTGAAGTCACGTTATGTAGTGCTCATCACAGAATTTTCGACATCGATATATCTTTTATGTTATGACTGATTCGCTCGATCACTATAATTCCTTGATGAATTAATCTTTCTGAACGTTCGATCCATACTGACAAAATTAATAGTAAAATAGCAAACAATTAATAAGCTTAAAAAGGAGAACACAATAGATATATAGAAAAACATCAACAAGGAGTATTATCTGTAAGAAAGAAAATGTTATTATCCTACATGAAAAAAGAATAGAAAGAGATGTGTAGGTTATGAAATTGTTATGAATAAGTCTGGCATTTTTTCTAGAATAAGATATATTCTTATATAATGATTTTTATTTTTAAAATCATAAAATGTATCAATTCATCGACCGTGTGATAATGGTGAACTATTGAACTTTCAGAAAGCGGTAGTCTTTTTGGTGCCTTGGGAAAAAGCAATCTGATCTGGATTCTCTTCGGGGTGTCACTAGCGGGAAATATCCTTCTAGTGGTGGTCATCGTTATTACATGGTAAGTTACCAAGGACACAAAAAGGTTAATCTTCAGATCAAAAGCGTACAATGATGTACTAAGCCCGCTGCGGGGCATTAATATTTTGACTGCGATTCTACATTTACATGCGCTTATCCAGCTCGTGAAGACAATACAGGCCATTTTAGTCCCGATTTTAGTAATGTAATCAAATTCTTAATTCACCTGTTACAAATAAGTTGTATTGCCATATTCAGAATGCGGATTGCATACATTACGTGTTGTTAGGTAGAACAAGCCGTAATATATACCTATCAACCCATATTGTATGCGATTCGCATTCTGACTATTGAAATACAATTATTCATAACAGGTGATTGAAATCATTTGTAACGAGGCACTTAACAAAGCTTGGTGCATTAGATTTGATTACATTACGAAAATGCTCTAGTAGCCAATGTTCCATTTATTCTCTTCATGATATCGCTCTGCATGGCATTATGATGCGTCCAACACCGCGTCGGTCAGTGACGTAGTCCTACATCAGACAAATAACGCCTCGTGTAAATCTGGCATTATGATCAACAAAGTTACTATATTCAGTCAATGTTGACAGGTACAATGCGAGTAGAGGTATTCACCTGATCATTTTTAGCAGATTTATTGCATGCATGGGTAGGCCTCTATTAGATTATATTGGTGTGACTCTACGTGCATAAATGTGGATTACAGCTACAAGGTGTATTACGACAAACCCATTAATCGAATTGATAATTTCTGTCTCCTGAATTCTTGTTAAGTAATCCCCCAGTGGCAGCCCCTCAATGTTTTATCAAACTAATTCGCTTGAATTACATTTATCCGTGTAATTATACCACAACATATCATTGTGTATAAAACAAAAACAAAAACTATAACAAACAGTCCATAATATGATATGTATGCATTTAACTTTGTTTAATCTCCTCTGCATTTCTAACTAATAATTTGTTCAGTGCTTCTCAGGAAAACAGTTTTAATACTGCGAGAGTTTCCCTATTTTAATAAAAACGAATAAATAGATAAGAAAGAGGGAAATGCGAAAAAAAATATTATTAACATGTTTGATGTGTTTAAAAGAACACTGTTTTTAAATGGGTGCCCATTCAACAAATATCCAACAAATAGTATCACATTGGTTCCTATCCTTGTAAGGAATATGTATGTTGGTGATTTTTTTAATGACATAACAATACTCCATCCTGCCGAGAAATTGTGTATTTGAGAAAACCAAACGGGTTATTATTCGCATCCTTCATCAGCAACTAGGATGAGAAATGATCTTAATATATTTAACCTATTCTGACCTAAACGTACGCACGAAGTTACATCTGTTTCTTGGCCGACGTTTACCGCAGCTACATGTACAATTCCCCCCCCCCCCTCCAAATGGTCTAGATTTCTTACACATCAATATCTTCGTGTCTCTTTTTCGCACTTATATTTAATTGTAGCAGGAGACAGAGGAAGCAGCAGAAGAAGAAAACTCTACCGAATTTAAGCCGTGCTCCTTCGGGACATGACCCAAAGGATCACCAATACGAAGTCCCCCGGGCCGTTGGAGACGGGGATGACCACATCTATGAAGGTCTTCAGAGAACAGAAAGCAGCATAAACAAAGAATCGTCTTACTTGAGCATCGATAATACAGACAGAGTCGAATATGTAAATACGAACATTTAACATCAAGGTGCTAACATGAGATGGAGTCTATTCGACGTCCAGTACTTATATCTCATTCTACGCAGAACACGATGCAAAGACTTCCGAACAAAAATCAACCAAGGGCAAATCCAGTAGCCTTGCCCATCACCCATTGAAGTGTGCGATAGAAGTGCAAAGACGTATTATGTAATCCAAACGTGATATCTTTTGGGGTTCTAGGACACCTACCCCTGGACAACCACCCCGGATAACTACCCCCAGTCAACTACCCCAGACAAGTACCCCAGACAACTACCCCCTACGACAACCATCCTCTAGGACAACTACCCCCTGACAACTAATCTAGGGGTAGTTGTCTAACCCTACTATAGCTTTGATCAGACCAAAAATGCGGTTAAGTGACGTATTATTTTGATTCATGGTTAGAACTCCACAGTGCGTGGTAACCTATGTGTTACCCAAATACCTAATACATTATACTTGACTATGATAAACATGTTTTTTTCTTTTAATATCTTAATAGGTGAATAGCTACCACGTATTCAAGACTATGTAAATAGTTTGTTTTAACTTCCAGTTATTTTTTATTTTTATTTATTCATTTCCTCTCATAGGGTGGATGGCCCTTTCAGCACAGCTGATTTTCAAAGGGGTCCACAAACATAAAAATAACAATAAATATACAGTGAATTATACAATAATATGAAAAACGTTGCAAATGCCGTGGCACATCACGATATCTGTTTTCATAACCATGTTCAATGTATCCAGTTTGAAACCGAGAACCAGTAGGTGCACTATGTTTTAAAGAAAGATTTACAGTTCAGAACCCATGTCGAAGATGTGATTTAGGTTATGCTAATACATGTATAAATCTTTCTTAGACTTTTTGTATGTTGTCTTACAGTCTTGTAATTTATATTTTAAAAAAAGGAGATAACATTTCTTTGTAAATTTGTTTAAAGAATGCGCTTGATAATAATATCATGCTTGCTATTTCCTACGATATTATTTTTGCTTTTATATTAAACAATTGTTTCATGCCATTTTATCCTCAATTCTGCATTGCTTGAAGTTTCACAGAAAATGCTTTCATTTGGTGCTCAAAATAAATTGGTCGTCTTGTTATATCTTTTGTTTTATTAAATTAGCAAGTCCATGTAAGCCAACATGATCATTCAACTAGATTTGCCAAAAGTAATTTCATAACCTTTTTTCAATACTTGTTTTTGATTCTACGTTTGTTTTGACGGCTTATATTCCTTTGGATCTCACTTCGTACGTCATTTTAGATATACATTTATTATATGAGAGATTCGTGACAGCATACTTCTGCGAACAGTTTGTGTCAAGAATCTGAGACATAATTTAGCTGGACTGTACATACATACATCTTTCAGAATTACTTTTAAAAGTATGGTTAACATGTTTGCGACATGTGTAGGGCCCCTAAAAAAGAGGAAATGCTACAATTATGTGCATTTTTTTCTTCACATTTTTTGCTGGTCATTTTATGCTGGTCATTATTTGCTGGTCAGTTTTCTCACTGTCAATTTGGCTTTTCTGGTCATACTCTGAAAATTGTATGTGCAAATGCAAATTACATTTCAAATAAAATGTACAATGACATATGTTCGACTTGTATGTATAATTCATTCATGCACAATATGTTATACGTGGATGTATAAAATAAATATATCATGGTTTAGATTTACGTGCGTGTGTATGTGTGTGTATGTGTGGTGGTGTGTTTGTGTGTGTGTACGTATGCGTGTGTGTGGGTGTGTTTGTGTGTGTATGAGAGAGAGAGAGAGAGAGAGAGAGAGAGAATGAGGGTGTGAGTGAGGGTTACATGTGGGTGTGCGTCTTTATGCGACGATCCTAGGAAATATCGACATTGTTTTAATGAGTACGATAAAATCAATTCAATTCAATCTAATTTATTCAAGTCCATTTTAAAAAATATATTGAAAACACTTGTACACTGAGAACGTAATTACATGTAGGATACGCTTAAACATTGAACTTTAAACACAAAATTAAATAGAGAAGTAAAGACAAGAGTAAGAAATAAACATGTTTACAGCAAAGAAATAGATAATGAACATGAAATGGGAAATTGCAAAAGAAACAAATAAAGGTTCTGTCGAGGCAGAAAAGCATAGTGACATTATGGCCAAAAAAAAAAGTTAAAAGTTAAAAAATTCATTAAAGTTTGGATGGACTAATTATTTGTAGAGTACGTAAATAAAAAAAACATAAGTTTTAATTTAAAAGAATTAAGAAATGAAATTGTTTTATCATAATGAGAAAAAAAGTTTCATATTGAAGGTCCATTTGATTTGAGAGAAAAAGATGATGCTGTATCTTTACATTTTCTACATAGTAATTTTCCTGATTTCTATTATTATAATCATGCTTTTCTGTTTTACATTTAATAATAAAGGCCAGATTATATGGTATTTTTTAATGTATATGTTATGTTAAGACCATTAATGAGATACAGAAGTCAATCAATTGATAGATAGTGAGAAGATTCAGTTTTTAAAATAGTGGTTTTTAAATCGCACAATCTAAACTGGCTCACTTTAACAAAAAAAAAATGAAAAAGGAGTTTTTCTTTTATTATAAATTGTGTACATGTAATTATATCGTTATGTTTTTATCGGGAAGGTGGAACGCGGTCTTTGTTATAATAATGAGGCGGAGACATTTACGCACAAATTTCAGGAACATAATTAATTCGGACAAATTGGAAGAAATTCTTCATTCCAGGGATAATACCCTATAAGGAGAGGGGCAGGACAATTTTTTGTCATGTGGACTTTAGAGGTGTTAGTAGAGGTGTCGCGTGGTCTAGTGAATACGTCACTGGACTGTGGATTACATGGATCGCGGTTCGAGTACCGCTGCGGCACTAATGTCCTTTGGCAAGACATTTATCCAGTAAGGAAAAGAAACAAAAAATGAATATTATAGGTATAAGTATCGGTCTATTTATATCAATATCACACATCATAACAATGATTTTAACATACTGTGACGGACACGATTCGCCACCTTGGCTTGACACGGAGTATTTGTCAGGATGCCCGTGTCAGGCCAGGCGCTCTCCGTCCGTTTGGACAAAGTATATGCCCGTAGCTTGATGGCTGGTGTTCTTTCACCGCTCACGTCACAGCGCGTATTAACAATCATGCATCCTTCGATCGACTGCAATCGGTCACCCCAATCGTTGTGCACAGCAACAGTCAATTGAACATCCTTCGAGCAATCAATCAATCAATCACCAATCAGTCACCATGCTTTGTCAACTCCTGTCACTGATTCTCGATCTCATTGTCTAACTACGGTTTCACTGTTCTAAGAAATCAGACCAATCATGAGTTGCATGTCGAATTCCTTTAATGCGAACCAACCAACCAACATTCAGGGTAAGCTCGATCAACATAAGTACAAGTAGACTAGATGTAAGACTAAACTAAAGACTAAGGCCAGCGCCAGCCTCGGTGAGGCTGGCCTGTATCGGATACAGTGCCGTCCAAATCCTCTATTACACAATCCTTCCCGTACTAATAATAAGGGCAATTATGTCCTGGTTAGTAAAACAACACTTCAACACAACATTTCTGCTAATCCCATTAAATCTTCACATATAATCTTCAGTATAAGCCCTTATTCCTGATTAGATAACTATTATACAAATAATATCCCCAAAAGAAACATGATAATTGCACCAACATGATCAAACTTATGCTCATTTTCCGGTAACCCGACACATGCTCCGCCGACGATTGCTCCGCCGACATTTACTCCGCAAAACGCGACAATTGCTCCGCGACATTTGCTCCGCGACATTTGCTCCGACGTCAAATGCTCCGCCGACAGTTGCTCCGCCGACAGTTGCTCCGCCGACAATTGCTCCGCCGACAGATTCTCCGCCGACAATTGCTCCGCCGACAATTGCCCCGCCGACAATTGCTCCGCCGTCAATTGCTCCGCAAAACGCGACAATTGCTCCGCCGACATTTGCTCCGCCGACATTTGCTCCGCCTGAAGCGACACTTGCTCCGCCGACATTTGCTCCGCCGACAATTGCTCCGCCTGAAGCGACAATTGCTCCGCCGACATTTGCTCCGCCTGAAGCGACACTTGCTCCGCCGACATTTGCTCCGCCGACAATTGCTCCGCCGACAATTGCTCCGCCTGAAGCGACAATTGCTCCGCCGACATTTGCTCCGCCGACATTTGCTCCACCGACATTTGCTCCGCCGACAATTGCTCCGCCGACAATTGCTCCGCCTGAAGCGACAATTGCTCCGCCGACATTTGCTCCGACGACATTTGCTCCGCCCAAAAAGTGTCCCATAAACTACAAATGCTACTAGTACTACGACAAATGCTTCGCCGACAATATTTTCTTTACACCTATTTTTTTCGTTTCTTTTTTTCTTCTTCATTTTCTGAATGCATTTCTTGAAATAATGTAGATGAAATGAAATGAATGAATGTTGATGAAGTGGGAGGAAAAAGGAGTTACCTAAAAGTCATTTCGAATATACTGAAATAACTTTCCATCTATCACTGTACGTCCCATATAATGTATACTAAACACTCATTACATGTCGTGGGAAGTTAAAAAAAAAAGTAGAGCAGCAAGCCACATTCCCCAATACGCGCATACCTCCTAGTTAATTTCAAGTAGCTCATCAATATGTAAGACCTGAAATTACCTCGATCAATGCATCTTACTAGGTAAAGCATTATACAATGTAATAGGTCATCATGGAAGTTTAGAAAATAAGTAAGGGGGATTTACCAAGTGTTGATCTTTTTAAGAGTTTTATAAAGAAACAAAAAGATATTGAATATTTCTCAGCGAAAAAAAGGAACAAGCTTGTTTCGCATTTTAAGAAATGGCGATTTGACTTATGATACTCATGTTGATTTAACTTTTATTCCTGTGCCCCCTCACTCCCCTTTATGCACTGGAGTTTAAACTATGATTTATATGTGTACAGTGTATTTTTTTTTTTACTATAATGTTTTTTTTTTATAACTTTCTTGTCCTTTCATTATTGTTAGTTGTTCTTATACATATTGGGTTTTTTGTTTGTCTAATTATTACCAATGACTTGTAAATATGTAATTTTTATATGATTGAAAATTTAATAAACACACAAATATAAAAAAAAAAGTTTAGAAAATAAGGGCACTTATATACGTAAGGAAGAGAACCCATTCAGACGGGAAAATGAGATGGCAGCCTTTCTGCTTATTCACATTTATACAAATCATTTTGTTGCAGTTTGATGTTAGTTCTTCATGATAAGCCAATTGCTCTTCTTCCGGTGGCTTCGTGAGTCCCTTAAATTATTTAGTGAAAACAAAGTACTCGAATGAAACGGAGTGTTTTGCACACTAACATATATATATTAAAGCTACATACACTTAACTAAAGGAAAGAAACCTTTAGAAAATGGACTGGATATTATTGAAAATATTATTCTACACAAGAATGTACTACATGATTGTATAACTTTACGTTCCAATTTCACGAGAGAAATAGAACTCGAGAGGGGGAGCAGAGAAGAAGTGATGGAAATGAAAGAAGACTAATAGCATGAGAGGAAAGAAAAGAGCAAAGAAGACAAGAAAACGGTGTAAACAGGAAAAGGAGGAGCATGGGAGAGAGAGAAAGAGAGAGAGAGAGAGATAGCCTTGAGCTTTGGATCAGCTAATGAGTAATACATGAAACAGATTTTGAGCGGAGTAATTATCTTTCGCCGGAGAACTTGCGTAAGGAGCTATAATTTTATTTTTAATTTTTTTAAATCAAACATTATGGGGAATAGCTAAAAACGGTTGTCTTTTTTGCTCTTTTCTTTCCTCTCATGTTATTAGTCTTCTTTCATTGAGGTAATTTCAGGTCTTACATATTGATGAGCTGTTTGAAATTAACTAGGAGGTATGCGCGTATTGGGGAATGTGGCTTGCTGCTCTACTTAAAAAAAAAAAAAAACTTCCCATGACATGTAATGAGTGTTTAGTGTACATTATGTGGGACGTACAGTGATAGATGGAAAGTTATTTCAGTATATTCGAAATGACTTTTAGGCAACTGCTTTTTCCTCCCACATTATCAACATTCATTCATTTCATTTCATTTACATAATTTCATGAAATGCATTCAGAAAATGAAGAAAAAAGAAAGAAACAAAAACAACCCGTGAAAAAAAAATATTGTCGGCGAAGCATTTGTCGTAGTACTAGTAGCATTTGTATTTAATGGGACACTTTTTGGGCGGAGCAAATGTCACCGGAGCAAGTGTCGCTTCATGCGGAGCAAATGTCGTCGGAGCAATTGTCGGCGGAGCAAATGTCACCGGAGCAATTGTCGCTTCAGGCGGAGCAATTGTCGGCGGAGCAATTGTCGACGGAGCAATTGTCGGCGGAGCAATTGTCGGCGGAGCAAATGTCGTCGGAGCAATTGTCGGCGGAGCAAATGTCACCGGAGCAATTGTCGCTTCAGGCGGAGCAATTGTCGGCGGAGCAATTGTCGACGGAGCAATTGTCGGCGGAGCAATTGTCGGCGGAGCAAATGTCGTCGGAGCAATTGTCGGCGGAGCAA